GACGGGGAGGTCCTGCGTGCCCTGGGCCAGGTTCTTTCGACCTGATTCGGGCCCCTTGGAGTTGCCCGTTCCGTTTACGCAGGTAAAGATGTATTCTTAGTTTGTTCTCCAGTCTTAATGGATATCCCCGTTAGAAGGACCGGTTCAGACAGCGGCCTGAAATTTGTGTATCAGGTCAGATTTATCGTAGAAGAAGCACTACTTACTTTGAAAGGAACTGAAATGTAGCTTATCAGCAATACTACTACTCCTCCATGACGGTTCCACCTACATCTCCGACAGATACATCACGGAGTAGAAAGTCTGCAACCTCGTCCAGACAACCTATTCCCACCCCCACCCTCATCCCCCATCCCTACACAATACACATGACCTCCCGGACTGCACCACATATACATCTCAACCACCCACACGCGGAGGAAAAAAGTAAAAAGGAGAAAAAAGCAAGGGTATATATGAAAGAAAGTACAAGTACAAATCGTCTCAGCTGCAGCTCCATCCACCCAGCCCCAGCCCGCCATTCCCCGACCAACCCGAGCAAGAACAACCACAACCTCAGCCGGCAAAAAGTCTCACGCAGTATCAGCTCGAATGATGTTTACAACCAATCAAAAATCCGCTAAGCCGCCGGAGCAGGAACAGACTGAGCCGCCTGCTGCTGCTGCTGCTGCTGCTGCTGGGCGAATTGGTTCTGCTGATGGGCTTCACTCCGACCGGGACCGGGGGTGGCCGAGCCGACGGGCAGCTGTTGCTGTTGCTGTTGAAGCAACTGCTGCTGCTGGATCTGCTGCTGCTGGGCGATCTGCGGGGTGAGGGCGATCTCCGGGGCTTGGCGGTAGAGGACGATTTCGGATTGTTTGAAGTAGCGGCGGGCGTCTGTATTTCATCATTAGGCTTGGGGGTTAGTGGACTGTGTGCATTTTTTTTTATGGTGGTGGTGGTGGAGGTTGATGATGATGTTATTGATAAGGAAAGGTATTGGTTTGTTTGGGGAAGGGAAGGCAGGGAGTCGGATGGAGTGGGGGAGGGAAGCGATGGGAAAAAATTGGGGCCTCCACGTGAGGAAACCTCTAGGCAAATTGGATATGGGGGAAAAGCCCATCGCTTGGGGTTTAGTGTGGGGGTAGTGAATGATAGGCTGGACGCGGCGGGCGGTGTGTGTGGCTCGATCAGCAGGAGGGGGAAGGCCCTTCACCGATAGCCGACCGGCTATTGAAACGGGGAACGGGGGGAACAGTGGGATGCCGTGGGATGTTTAGTGCGGGTGCCCAGTGGAAGGCCAGCAACCCGACCGGTCTCCGGCAAGTGGACACATACTTCTGCCCGATGATCTGTGACGTTGCAGAGCAAAAAAAAAAAAAAAAAAAAAAACCAGGCAAGGGCGGGTGGAGAGACACAGAGACACAGCGTAACCGACTTACCCTCGTCAATGAGCACCAGGCTGAGGTAGTACCGCGTCGAGTACTTCTTATTGACATCGCGGAAGGTGGGTGTCAGGTCGAATCCGCCGAGGAAGAGACGGATGGGAATGGTTTCACCTGGGCAGGTATCGTCAGCATTAGCTGGACTCGTCCAGATCGGGTGGCTGGTTGTCGTTCAACCGAGGCCAAAGGAAGCGTTTCTCACTCACCTCGAGAGGGCGACCCATCCATGATCTGCAATGTGCGCCGTTAGCATTTCCCAGCACTATTCTCATTCCCAAATCTTTTCCAGCTGCACTCACCTCGAACCGCACCAGCGTCTCACTCTCGTTGTACTGATTGGGCGGCGACCCCGTGGTCTCGCGCCGGATGATCGATAACTCCATGTGCTTAATCTTGAGTCGGACTAGGAGGAAGTAGATGCGGCCGACGATGACGTCCTTCAGGTGGTATTTTGACTTGGAGTACTCGAACTCGATGTGCAGGCAGTCCTCGATGCCAACGTCCATCTTGATGGGGCTGTTGGTCTCCGGGGGCATGCGGTACGAGTACACCCAGAGGTCCTTCTCGCGGATCACGTCCGCCATGCGCCGGGACACCGTCACCCGGACGAAGTAGCGCAGCTTGACGTTGATGCCGTGGTAGGATTCGTACTGCTTCTCGATGTTCTTGAAGTTGAAGGGGAAGGTCTGCGGGTGCTGCAGCTCGCCGGGCGCCGCCAGCTCCTGCACCAGGGACAGGAATTCGTAGTGGTTGCCGCGGTCGTAGAACATTTCTGTGAAGGGGCGGGTTAGCTTCGTGTAATGCACCCTAGCATGACCATGTAGTACTATCAAAGGGTAAAAGATGAACATGCCCCCCGCGCGGATGGATTAACTGGGCCTCATACCAATTGTACCGATGAACTGCACCTTGATGCCAGTGTGTTCCAACCGCTTTCCATCCTTGGGTCTGACGGTCACGGCTCCCTTGACGGACTCGCCGTCCATGTAGAGAGGGACCCTCTCGCGACGGCCCTTGTCCAACTTGACGTCCACCGTTTGGCGCTCATCGCTATCTTCGAGAACCACGTCGATGTCCACCGGGGTGGAGAAGAAGAGGGAGGTCATCGTGGGGGAGGGGGAAGGAGTCAAGGAGCTGGGGTGCTGCAGGGGGGAAAGCAGGGGAGCAAATCTGATTGGCAGCCGTTGGACACTTCTATGCTCGTCAAGTCAAGCCGTGTACCTGAGCGGAAATGAAATCGAATGGAATTCACCGGACAGAAATGGCCATGAGATGGGCAGCTCCCTCAGCGGCATCTCGACTGCCTGGCGGCGGTGGACGCGCTGGCACTATCGCCGATTACGTACTCACCGCCTTCGTCATGCCTGCCCGTCAAAGAAGCCCTGGTTGTATGGAACGTCTTCATTTTATAGTCCAGTACTCTGCACGTCATGTGCGACGTCCTACTCGGATCTGCCGACAGCTCGTGATGCAGCGAGGAAACTCTGTATACATGGTCTGCTCCTAATGACATGCGGCAAGATCGACGGGGGGCATAACCGCACTCTAAAGTCGGTGGAGCGGGGAATATTCCTCCTTTCGCGCTGCAGAACCAGGCTTCAGAAGTCTGGGGAAGTCATCCATCCCCTCCGCACTATCCGGGATCGATACTCTAATTGGATGACCTGTCTATATGAATGAGGGGTTTTTGAGGGGACACAGTCACCAGTTTGCAAGGAATAATCAGTCAGCGTAGGGCGCTTAAGGTTATTTCTCGCGCCTCTTAACGGAGGAGGCCGCTGGGCAGAAATCCGGTAATGAACCCTTGCACCCCAGTCGGATCATGCACAGAGCTGCCAGGGAAACATTAACCTTAGAAAAGCTATCTAGGGAGTGCAAGGTAAGTGAATCATTGTGTTACTCGGCGAGTTTCGCATTCACTTTGGTCGGCGGCGGTGAGTAAAGAGGGACGCATGATCAAGGCCAGATGGTTTCACAAGAGGGGGAAGATGAAGAAAGGTCCAGCTCTGGTTGGGCCAGAGGTAACACCAACCGACGTGTACCTACGGGAATGGAGTCCTGCTGTGAACAGAGGGAAATGACCCCCGTCAAGCTTAAATCCGACCTGTCGCAATGGTTGGGACCGGGGAAAAGGAAAAAGGTACGGCCCAGGCCGGACTTTTTGTTCCTTGCTATCTCGGTAGATTCACCGCCAGTCGTCAGTGGATGGATCGTAGGGGAAGGATGATGAGACCTCGTGATACTGTTGCCAGTTGGTTTGACGATTAGGCTGCTGCAAATCGACCAACAGAATGAGCAGTAATCCATCCGATTTTGTGATTGCTTCTGCTGTGGGTGCAGTTGGTTTGTTCATGCAAGTGTAAGTGTCTAAAACGGGTCCACGGTAGAACTGGAGCGAGCCTTCGAGAGAGGAAAGCCTCTGGAAAGATCGAAGAAGGTGCATGGAAGAGGAACAGCCGGCTAGTGCCAGAGAGGGAATAGTGTGGGGGGAACAAAGAGAAACGCAACCCCCATTTTTCCTGGTCGAAAAATAGATTACGGGGTGGAAATTTACCGACTGTTCCGAAACGCCGGTTACAGATCACGGCTCCAGTGACATCATGGCATGGGCAAGTTATCTCACCCGATACTCCTCCGAAACACCCTGTTCACAACGATGGTTGGAGCAATGGATGGGATTTTTCGTCTCATCTCATCTGGATCAATGGCGATGGCGGAGAATGTGACACAGGTGCTGCGTCACTGTACTGTGGATGCCTAGCTGTCTATTCTGTGAATACAGAGTGGTGTAAGCCATACGTATGTGATACCACACTCGATCGGATCTCCCGCTAACAACCAGACCGCCGGAGTCTCAGGGAAGGAAAGACGGTTCTTTATTTCTTTTTTTCCCCCACCCTTTTTTTTTCTTGGTGTTCCTTTCCCCCCCACTCCAAATGCAGTGCTGCAGTGGTGATGAAATGACGACCAAGTTATTTCTGATACCTTAAACCCGGCCCTTTCTGCGTGTTGTCTCAACACCCGATGCCAGAAGCCGGGGTGGATCCTGGAACTGAGTAGGGAAGAATGATCAATCACATTCAATCAGGTCGCAAATTCAGGAAAAAACCAGACCGGACGAAACAGTGTCATTCTGAAGCCGATAACGCCCCCCCGGACTGACTGAGTGACTGACCCACAGCCCATGGGATTATTATTAGTATTGTTGCCCGTTCTGGAAACCCTTTCATCATTCTGATTTCCCGTCTTTCCTTTTTGCTTTTGCTTGAGAGCCGTAGTTTCTTCCCCGATCTTGTTCTTGCCCTTCTTAAGCTCAGTCTTTCCCCCGGTTGTTGCGTCAGGGAGAACTTAAGCCAACTTTTACCCACCTCTACTGAGTACATCCATACACCACACACTTTCCACTCTGCCGCTCCTACACAAGCTCCAACTCCAACTCCAACAATCCCAACTGTGGTTCCAACCAAAATCCCACAAATTCCGAGCACGTCATAACACCCAAGTATCCCAGCGCACCGTTCATTGTCCCAGAACCCCTTAAAACCCAAACCCAACACTCCCCAACTACAAATCATCATGCTCTCCGCCGGCGAACGCCCGCAACCCGCCATGAAGAACAAGGGCGCGGTGGTAGACACCCCCCTCAACATCAACCACACCACCACGAACCCCATGTGGGCCGACCAGACCCAGCAGCAGCCGCCGGCCCAACCGCCGCAGCAGATCCAACACATCTGGGTGGTGACCGGGCCCGCCGGGTGCGGGAAGAGCACCGTCGGGCGCGGTCTGCAGGAGGAATTGGGGGTGCCATTCCTCGAAGGCGATGATGTACGTCCACCTCTCCCAAAAATACCAACTCTCTCCAGCCCACCCTTTCGAAATGCCTATCCGCGAATGCTAATCCCCCCCTGAACAGTTCCACCCGGCCTCGAACAAGACCAAAATGAGCAACGGGGTGCCGCTGACGGACGCGGACCGGTGGGACTGGCTGATCTCGCTGCGGCAGGCGGCGATCGCGGCGCTGTCGCCGTCGGAGGCGAACGGCTACCGGCCGCCGACGGGGGTGGTGGTGGCGTGCTCGGCGCTGAAGAAGAAGTACCGGGACGTGATGCGCGTGGCGGCGTACGGCTCGCCCGCGGTGCAGATCCACTTCATCTACCTCAAGGTCGACCCGACGGCGCTGCTGCAGCGCGTCACGCAGCGGCAGGCCCACTACATGAAGAGCAGCATGGTGCAGTCGCAGCTGATGGACCTGGAGGAGCCCGTGGTCGGGGACGAGTGGGATGCGCTGATCGTGGACGTGCACGCCGGCCAGGCGGAGGTGCTGCAGGAGGTGATTGCCCTGGTGCGGGATGCGCTGGTGAAGTTCCAGCATAGCTAGCTAGGCTGAGGGTGACGAGGCTAAGGGCCAAAGGTGTTTGTTTCGGGTGTTCTTTTGTGGGGGATTTGTAGATTTGCGACAGGGCGTTTTTGGGTCTGGGCCGTTTGATACCTATTATGTATATGATTATGGTTTGAATTGATATTATACATTATCTTGATTGAATTGGACATAGTAGTGTACTAGTATCAATTTCATTTAAACGATTGCGTTTCACATTTCAAGCATGCGGTAACCTTCTAACACCATACGCCATTAAGAGAACCATACCTACCCAGAACACAATCCCAACCGAGCATAAAAAATGCATAAATCTCATCCCACCAAACATACAAAAACACCTCCAAACAACAACCGCAACCCCAACCCCCAAGATAAAGCTTAGCCCGATCCCCTTCTACCTAGACCTCCTCCCACCCCCATTCTCCGTCCCGGAACCCTCCCCCCTACAACTCCCGCCCCTCCCTCCCAGCAGACCTCACCGAAGAAATCGCCCCATAAACAACCCTCAACTCGCGCTCACCCCACCCGCGGCGCCCGCGGCGCACCCGCCCGCGCCGCGCATCCGCCTCCGCCTGACTCTCCAGCCGCCCGTCGGGCCCCCGCCGCCGGTGCCAGAACCCCGCCGCCCCCAGCCCGTGCCGCGCGATGCTGCCGCGCCGCGCTTCTTGAAGGAGGACCCGGCGCCGGAGGATGCTTGCGGTGCGGCGGGGGCGGTGGCTGTGCGAGCTGGGGGTACACTCGGAGGTGGACTCGGAGGTTGAGGTTGAGGTGGACTCAGAGGTGGGGCTGCGCTGCTGGTGCTGGTGATGCGGGTGATGCTGGTGGTGGTGTTCGTGATGGGGGCGGAGCGGGGAGTGGTCTGGGGCGTGGGTGGTGAAGGTTTTGGAGGGGCCGTAGAGGTAAGGGGTTGGTTTTCTGCGTTTGCGCGGGGGTACTCCGGACTTTTGGGAGGGGGGCGAGGCTTGGGAGGAGCGGGAGGAGCGGGAGGATCGCGAGGATCGCGAGGATTTGGATTTCGGGGGCGAGGGGGAGGGGGAGGGGGAGGGGGGTCGTGTGGGTGAAGAGGCTGGGTATGGTTCTTCAAGGCCGGAAGTGCAGGTGCTTGGGGGGAGGACTGAGGGCTGGTGGGAGAGCGGGGGGGAGGGGGGTGCGGTGGGGAGGATGTGCGAGCTGGGGTCGTGAGTTCTTGGGTACTGTTTCCCCCGTTATATTAGTATCAAGGTCGGGTTTATTAACAGGCAGCGTGGACGGGTTGGGGACGTTACATTCCGCAGGTCGGAGAGATCGGGTCCACCGTCTTCGGCCAGCTGTCGTAGGTGGGCTTGTTGCGCTTCGGAGAGGTGGCTGTACACTTCTGGGGCGAAGGTGCGGGCTCTGTATCCTTCGATGTCAGTATGATAGATATGTTGAGGAAGGCAGTGGTGGCATACCTCGCCGGATGGGCAACCCGTCCCTTTTGTTTGTGTTTGATCTCGAGCTCGAGTAGAGCATCTGGGGTGAGATGGCGGGCTTTTTCGTAACGGGCACGGTTCCTGGACATTAGAGATACCCTTCGGCTTCGTTTGGGCTTGGGGGCTTTAAGAGGGTCGGAGGGCATGTTTGTTGGTATACTCCCTCAGGAGTGGTTGTATTGTATATTGATATGATGAAAATCGGGGTGTTTGTCATTTGTCGAATCCCGATGACGAGAGTGGGCTGCGAGGGATCTTGGATGAAAGCAGAAGTAGAGTCATCAATCGCGCTGGTGTAGTTCACATGAATGTATTTATCAATTTCCGTTCTAGCCTAAGATACAATATCAATCCACAGACAAAGAACAACTGGACTTCGTCGGACAAAGGCCATGTCCTTTGTGAATGGGCGTTGTCGTGCATCAGAACCCACTGTTGCAGAAGAGACAAAGAGACGACTTGTGATTGAGGTCATTCTACGGAAGACCACCTACATGTTCATTGTGCCGGACAATCACAATTGTGAATTTGGTTCTTCCTGAAACAAGTAAAACTGCTTGTGGGTTTATGTCCGATATCACCAGACTGCTCACCGGGAGCTGGCACTGAGATGACAGACGAACCTCCTGGACATAACAAGAATTCCCACCTTGATTCAGATGACTTCTAACCACTACATCTCCGCCCAGGTCAATGATCGCTAGCCTACATGTGAATAGTCCTGTTCAGTCTACACGCCAATGACTTAGTGTGCCGTTAGTTCATCCTCTACCCAGTCAATACTAAATCCCCCCAGTCCCTGTACATATCCCAACAGCAACAGCACTAACCTGGTCAGCTACCCCAGAGACCTGTACACAGAAGGCAGGTCATACACCACATCGCTCCCCACCGGCTCTGTACTAGTCATAGGCTGTTTGCTTAGATGGGGCAGCGGCTCCGGCACACGAGTCAAAGGCTGCTGCTGATCAGTGAACGGATCATACACCGTCTTCTCCCCGACGCCATGGCAGAACCGCTCGAACCAGCTCTCAAACTCGACCCTGGACGAGTAGTCTCTCAAGTCGATCACCCCAGGGATCAGCGGAACAAGGCGGCCCTGCAGGTCGGGATCCGTGCATCTCTCCGCTATCTCGATGCTATGCTTACCTACCCCCGCCGGTGCTTCGGGCTTCTCGCGGCGATGATGCACATAATAGAAGAGCCCAACACGGGCGGAGAAGGCGACCACGACGGGCCGTCCGGGAAGGGGGAGTCTCTCCTCCACCTCATACCCGCTGCCCCAGCCTTCGCGGACATGCAGACGACGCAGGGCGTACTGCATGGTGGACACCCATTCTTCGACACTTTCGTCCCGCGCGCGGCGTAGAAAACAGTGGAAGCCACTGCAGCGGAAGGCGTCCATGGTGATCTCGCGGTATCCGGGTGGGCGGACGCAGTCGAATAGCCCCGTATCAAAACTGGAGCCGGGGCTGTCCTCCTCATCCTGATATCTTCGAATCAACTTCTTGAGATATCGGTCCCAGCCCTCCTCGACGGATCCAACATATAGATGATCGGGAAGATGGAAGAGCATGTCGAAGTTGATGGAGGGAGCGAAACCGGGGTAGGCTAATCGGTCATATGCCGCTCTGTGATGAAGGGTTAGATGCTGCCCAAACCCCTGCCGTGAGTGGGGAAGTACCCTCCTACCTGCGCGGCATTGTAACTGTTTTTGTGTAAGGAGCATCCCCGCTAGGGACGTTCACCAAGTGCCACTGCACAGAGTCGATGATACTGGGTCTCGAGGGGTCTTCAATTCCGATGATCGGGGTCAGTACTAAGTCCTTGTAGCATCGCATAAACCCCCCTCGACATAGTCGGGTAGTACTCTGGGTTCCAGTACGCCGGTCCACCAAGGTGTAGGAAGTACTGTGAAGGTCAAACTCAACGATGGTATAATGGTCATTCAGCCGAAGCTCGGACAGACTGGTCTTGCGGCAATAAGCCGACAGTTTGCTGAGACTGCGATACGTTCGAGCATCGGTGAGCTGCATCACAGTTGCCAGAGTCTCGTTAGGCAACACATGGGACACGGCACCTTCCAGATCATGATATGTGGCTGCGTCGAAGAAACGCAAGAGTGTCACAAAGACGATGGAATAGTTCATCTCCTCGGCGAGGCGCACTGTCAGTGACTGGTTAGTGTCATCCAGTTGACAATCGTGACCGTTGGGTCTGGCCAGATCATTGGACCTAGAATTCTGATGAGACTTGGTGCTAGATTTGGAATCTTTGACATTCCCCAAAGTACGAGGCGATCTATTCCGAGGCCCTCTTGCGAATGAAGAATTAGTGTCATCAAATTCGAACAATGTCATAATTGGACTTCTCTCCACAAGAATAGTCAGGTCTGATTGCGCCTGGACACGCAGTAGGATTACATCCAGAATCGAGAAGACGATCGCATAGAATGATTTGCGTCCCTGTTCGAGTCCGGCTTCCACGGCCTCGGCAATCGCGGCTTCTTCTATGTCGACGCGATCCAGGCCCGTGACCAAGTGGACCAAGACACTATCCGACCAATACGTGGTTTGCCGGGGAGCCGACCCGGACCCCACTCCGGGATGGTGTGACTCGTGCAAAAATCGGGGCAGCAGGGTTGGTCGGAGGCTCAGAAATTCAGAGTATGACGACTTTTCGCCATGAACCAGGTAATACCCTTCCTTCTTGTGGTTAGCATCCAGAGAACCGGGACTTGCAAATGATACAGCACCCGTGGCCAGAGACACGATAGCATATGCTATTTCTCTGAAGGGAAAGTCTGTGGGGCTCCATTCGAGATAGCTCCCATCCAGAAGATCGCGATAGTGCCCCTGGAATCGTGTGAACGTCGAGGCCAGAAAGGATTCCCGAAGGAAGGAGATGTCTTGAGAGAGATAGAAGGACTCTGGCGCAACCACCTCGACCTTGAACCGGTTGAACATCTTAATCAAGGTCTCTTTCACTTGAGGCTTGAAGGTGGGGTCGGCAAGCACATGTGGGGGTGTCCACTTGGCAGGTGCGCGGCGGCGACGAGCATCCTTACCGAGGTACAGGATCCATTTCTGGTCGCTAGCGATGCTGGAGAGCCGGAGATGAACGGCATTGTCGATGCTGAAGATCTCTTGGTCCAAGTCGACGGTGTAAACCCATTCATGATCTCCGTTCCGCCACCCCGGGGGCAGTAGCTGCAAAGGCGGCGATTCAAGCCGGTCGTCGAGGGCCAAGTAGCTCATCTCGTAGCGCTCAGTGAGGGAGGCGTTCGAGTCCTCGTCGATGGACTGGATGGCCACGGGGAGGCACTGCGTTTCGAATTGGTGAACGAGACGAGAAAACGTGGAGCGAAGAGCTTGGAGCCATGCTGATTGAGGGGTCAGAAATAACTTGCTCGTAGAAAGCTGAGTATATTCAGTGACGTGCCTTGGTACTGGATGGGATCTTCAGGGATAGTGTCGATCAACTCTATGCCCAGACCTTCCGGATAACTGTCCCACCGGTTAGAGTACGCAAAGTACCTACCACGGCAACGAATGAACAGCAGGCCTTTCACGGCCATGCTAAAATAATGGCTATTGCTTGGTAATGGAGATCATGAGCATTGGAAAAGCAGAAGAACGAGAAGGAGATGTCGGATGGGTGTGTTGGTTGCGAGAGGGAATGAGAAAGGAGAAGGGGAAGGAAGAGAAAAGGTGGGGTATGAGAGACTATGGGGGAAGTAAACAGAAAAACTAGTGGCCACTGACCACAAACACAGCAAACTCGCGGCTGACAAGGATTCACACCACCGCTGAATTGCAATTGGAAGCTGTAATTGCAGCCATAGAAAGACTGACAGCATGTGGGGCACGAGGCAATCTAGAAGCCTTAGCGCGCGATAGCTCGAAAACCAAAGATGCAAGCAGCCAAGTGGATTGCAGGCCTACCTAGACTTGCCACTTGCCACTAAAAATCATACAATCCAACTCTCAAACACATCAAAGGAAAAAAAAAACGAGAAGATAGTGTAAAATATTCATATCATATCAATATTCTATTAAAGAAAGTGGCCTTCCAATTGAAGAGCCATCACCGCCAATCCATGCTCCGCAACGCTCTCAATGCCAATAGTTAATAATCTCGAGCACCCGAAAGCCCACCTCTGCGACAGCGAAACTCACCGGTTCAATCTGGTTGCGGGGAAAGTCCTGGATCTTCCAGAACTGCAGATCATACTCATCCTTCTGGCCGTCCTTCTGGACACGACGCAGCATCTTGGTGGACCAATTTAGCTCAGTCTGCTCCTCGTGCTCCCAGTCCTCATTGGACATCAGTCGGCAGAGCTTCGAGTTGAGGTCCTTGTGGGCTTCTCCGAGGCACTCCCCGTCGCGCGTGATGACCCGGACCAGGACATGTTTCAGGCTTGGAGCGATTTCCGCCGGAGAGAAGTCCTCCGTCTCAAGGCGCACCTCAACCTGGGACTTGAGAAGTATCAACAGGCCCGGAAGTGAGAGGTCCCGCTTGCCTTCAACCCAGAAGTCTAGGGTCCAGAGATTGTGAGTTTCTCTCCGGGATGAAGGCATTGTGTTCTTGTTGTTGAAGGTGGAACACATACTGGAGTATGTCGGCTTCTTTGTGATTTGGGGTAGGGTGTGGAGCTGTCTCTGCATTGGGTGTGATGGGTCCTTTTATATTCCATGCTGGATATAGGGACGAGAGGGTTCGTAGCCGGAGATTTTCTGAAGATGCCAGTCTACGAGGCTTGCAGCTATGGGTTTGGAGGAGATTGTCGAGCACAAGGGGTCTGTGGAACAATGGATATTGTTAAGTCGAACATCACCCAGGGAACTGGCAAGGATCACGGAAACAAAGGAGGCGTCATCCCATTTGCTGGCTATACCGATTAGACTCGGTGTTGACTGCTTCATGCGAAGAATGCTCCGCCCCAACGGAATGCACCAGCTATGACATGTTCCAAGTCTCCGGGCCTCAGATGCATACGAGACATACGATTCTCGGTCTTGGTTATGAGTAAAATATAATCTTATCCTCAGATCGAGGATGGCGGGCATTGGTTGCTTCAGGATCACGCGGCGGAAAAACAAAAGGTAAAAAACGACAACAGTCGGATTTGAACCGACGCCTCCGAAGAGAATAGATTTCTAGTCTATCGCCTTAGACCGCTCGGCCATATTGTCTTATTGATGGTAAACAAGCTGTTGTTTAATTTGATGTGTCAATTTTATGGCTTACATCTCGTTGAACCATCCGTGGCTTTCTCCACACTTCTTGTATAGTTCCATCTCAATTGCGATGATCATTCCGACCGGTTTCATACTCCATGATGCAATTGAGTATCATGACTTGAAATCTCCCTTTATATCGAGTTGTCAATACCTTTGGGGTTTGTGGGTTCTTACGCGACTATTGCTTGGAACAAGAATATATGTTGAGGTATCAAGATATGCACAGTACATCGATCATCCCATGTTATGAAGAACAAACAAGTATACGAACTCTTCTTACATCACAGAACGAAAGAAGTCACCTCTAACCCGAGGCTGAGGTGACTTTTTAACAATCCTCTATCATCACTCACTTGCAACCCAACACGTAACCTACGTTGTCCAAAAGTCGCATGAAACTACAGCTGAAAACAGTCAAAGAAAATAAATTGAATTTGATCTACCTGCCCCTGCCTGATTTCCACCCATCAGCAACTTGAATAGAATTCAACTCAGACCACTAATATCGACCAACAAACTGCATCCCGCCTCGCACCATTTCTCATCCCAATTCCCGATCACCAAGCATCACCACCACCAAGTTTTGACAATCAAATCTTCTGGAATACAATGAAGGAACAGATATTCATTCTCCGAGCACGGAAAGTCGGCGTACTCAGGAAGATAAGTCTTGGCCACATTGAGCCATGTATCCAACTTCATGACGGTCACCTTGTGCCCCTCTCGGGATCTATACGCCCCCAGACGGGAAGCATCAATCATGTGCACCCTGACATTCGTCTCCCCAGCACGTCGGCGTCTCTTGGCCTCATGAAACGCCCATTCCCGGTCACTTGAAGTGGAAATAAATGCAGTCGGCCTCCGGTTCCCCCAGTTGAGGTGTACCCACAGTTCAACCTGCAAGTCCGACCTTTGCCTCCAGTCCTGGGGTCGAAATGGGACCCATTGGTTTCCCTCGGACAGGATCCCCAAGTCTTCGATCATTTGAGCCCTGGAGTGGTCGCTCTCGACACGATAGACAAAACGACCTGACTCCCACGATGGCATCCTGGCGAACGAGAATCAAACAATAATGATATCTTTTCGCTGCTTCGGCTTCTAGAAAGAGCGCTCCCAGGCAAAAATCGATCAGAAACCCTCACAACTGCATACGAAAATAAGAAGGAAGTAAGAAAGCCAGCGAGAATAGAGAGGGCAGGAAGCGCATTTAATATCTACTGTGCCGCCTGCTCTACGCGCTCAGGGGCCTTGCGCAGGCGAACGCGTCGATAAGGACGCGTCCGCAAATCAGGCGGCACCACGTCAGACTATGAATCAGCAGAGGCTATTGAAGCCGAATACTTCCATTTGGAGAAGTAGTTGGCAGAGGTATTAGGTAGATTACTACCTAGTAGCGACGGCGGCAGGAAGTGCTTGGGGAGAGGTAATTCGTTCGGCGGCTGTGGCACTGCCACGAACAATCGTCGTATTGCTCAGCCACTACGCTTGTAATCTTCGGAGGTCCGTCGCAACTGCGCCTCTAGCTTATGTATGTACTGCAGAAACGTGACACAAGCTGTGCTGTCCGTCACCCGATCGCATGTGGGGTAAGAACCACTGATGATTACTGCCAAAGATTGGGCACGCACCTCCACAGACACATGCAAAGAAGATGGTACTAGTGCAGCCCTCATACTTTGGCTGTCCCATATCTTGATTGAACCGACCGAAGGATAGCAAAAGCAAGAAAAGCGAAGCCAGAAACATAAAGTAGTCTCAAGCCAACCATCCTTTCCGAGCCCATAACGTCTACTGGTCGCACAATCGAATCTCGCAGTCAGCAAGATATGATACCGTCTCACAAATTTCAACGAAGTCATCTCAGATCGCTGATCACCGCCGCCCGAAGCAATGCGACCAAGATCGATTCAAGGACTCTCGCTTGTTCCTCGGGAAGAGCGTGACCACATTTAGATGCCGTGCATTGCTCGCCTCGGCAAAGAGTCCGTCGAGAGTGTTGGAAAATGGTGGAAAGCTTGATGCATGCAGGAGGATAAAGACCCTGGACAAAGTCAAGGCAGCCCTTTGAGCACAACTGAAAAGACATTGTGCTGGCAGACTGCTAGTATGCTGAATTGCGCAAGCCTGCAGATATTGTGATGCTATACAAGTATTCATTGCGGAGGCTGCGTGCCAGATGCCAGACTACGATGCATGGGACGGCGCATGAAGACATAAGCACCGTCCTACCGAACAGCAATCTATGGTGAAATTTTCCGTCAGTACACCAGAAGTCTAGGAGCTGGCATTTTGCCTAGAAATTATCTTTGATACGCGCATGCGTGGCTTGAAGCTACATCATAGCCCACCGTCACATGTATGACATCGCTAGGCTTCATCTATTGAATATCCGCTAACTCATCTCAATAATCACCTACAAAATCCAGGTGAGCCTTAACTCGTCAATTGAGGTATATCTATTGAAAGCATTACGCGATATGACCACGGTCAAAGCTCTAAATAAGCATGATTGCAGCATACGTTGTCCCAACTCAGCACACCTGCCGCAACATCTGACGCTTACTTACACAACATCAAGATCTCCGATGATTACGCGTATTGCATCATAGTTCTCAGAGTCTGTGAAACAACACCGAGATGAAGCTGCTATGAAAGAACAAAGGTTGTCAGAGAATCATGGGTATAAGTTCATGATGCCTACCACCTAGATCGCTCCAACCTCGCAGCAAGCTCCACAAAGGGACATCTCGCTGCTGACCTTGCTCCCTTCACACTTCACACATATCTCCTCATCTCCTCGAGTCATAAATCCTCACCAGGACCACAAGATGAGATTCCCGGGCACCTTCGGCACGATCAACCCCCGGGAGAAGTGGGACATCAACTGGAACGATGTGGCGCCGTATGTACAATTCAGTTTTCTAGTATTCAAATCAAAGAGGCGACCTTTTTCTATTAAGCCTGCAAAGGACAAAAGCTAATATAGCCTAGAGGAGAACCTCGTCAGGCCAACCTCTGGCTCACGCACTACGCGCATCAACCCGAGCTCCAGCCCATCAAGCTCAACGAGGAGCCGGTGGATATCCACGAAGAAAGTCGATATCAGGTTCAGCCGCGCTACGATGTGCCATGCGCGTGAGTTTGATCCCGTCTAGAGTGTAAATTAAAACCAGCGTGCTGATGGACGTTGATGCCAAGGAACGGATGGCGGATCTGGGCGATGGAGCCCTCAAAGAACCCGGTGAACAATAAGGACCCGATTGCCGAGTCCGAGGATCTGAACACATCCTGCGGGGGAGGAGAGTCGGAGGATTAGGACTAGCCGAAAGGTACTCGAGCTATCCTCGCTCGAGGTATCATATCCATTTGGGGGGAGACAGGGAAAGCACCTAGTATATGGTAACCCTAAGCCTTGGTAAGAGTTTTCCCCTGAAATAGGTTTTCCTCATACCGTCATGCAAATGCAGAGGCTACCTACCGTAACTACCACCTAGTACTTACTGTACCCAACATGGATCATGATCATCAATCCAATTTCAACCAAACGAACACCTACTGGATATATTATATTTTACAGCCCTGTAACCCGACCAAGAAAACCCCTCAGAAATGACGTGCTCGCATAAACCCCGGGAAACCCCTTCCGTCCGCAGCCATGCCCCCACGAAACCACCCCCACCAAAACACCAACCTCATCGTTTCCATTCCCGCTCCCCGCCCCGCTCCCGCCCGCAACCACAACAGCAGGCCCCCCACTATCCCCCCCACAAGCATTCCTCCCGCCCGCGGGCGTTCCCGCACAGAACATACTGGCGGTCACCGGGCTGAACCCCCGATACAGAGCACGACACTCCTCTTTCCCGACGACCGCGACCGTCACAGCCCGCAGGCTCGGGGAGTTCGCGCTGCCCTCGCCGGTCGCGCCCCAGCCCGAGACCACCACCTCCGTTCCGGAGGCGAGCACCCCCGCCCCGAAGGCGGGCAACCCCACGGGCGCGATCTTGGGGCTGTACGTCAGATTCTCGGACAAGGTTAAAATGGCGAGGTCATTGTCGGCGGTCGGGGCGGAGTAATTGGGGTGGATGTGGATTGCGGAGACATTCACGAGAATTCCGCCGGCATCGCAGCGGGCGGAGCCGGCGCGGATGCGGAGGCGGTTGGGCGTGGCGCTGGCGACGCAGTGGGCGGCGGTGATGATGATGTGCGCGGGGCTGAGGATGCTGCCGCCGCAGGTGCGGGCGCCGCCGTAGAGGAGGGCGATTTGGTAGGGGTGGGCTTCGATGGGGACCTCGGTGCCGCCGACGATGCAGGGGGTTACGAGGGCGGTGACCGGTGAGATGAGGAGGTGGAGGAGGGCGAGGAGGGATCTCATTTTTGAGGGTTTTGAGGGTAAGGTAAGGTAAGGATAGGTAAGATCGATAAGGTTGTGGGTTGGGTTGTTGAGTGGGTTGCTTTACGTCTACACCTCTTTATACGAGGATTCCCACGGCGCAGTCTGAGCATATCTTATCCCCAGAATGCAGGAGTGTGCCTGTTGACCAGGCCAAAAGGGTCTCGCATTGTGTAACAGAGAAGCAGGATCGAACCCTACTCCCGGCACTCGTACGACACTACCTTCGGCACCATTGGGAGTGCTCTTCAGATCTGGTGACAAACGCAATCCCACCGCAAGTCATTTGCTCTTCTCTGGATCTCATCACCGGGGAGTTCGTCGCGCCCGGTGACCTGGCAGGAGGACGGTTCTTCCGGGATGGGGATTATGCTTCTGAGGAAGCAGGAAGGCTTCCCGTGTTGCTACCCATGCTGACTGGCGGTATGTGTATACTGAATCTCACCTATTCAGAGAAGAGTTTCGCGTGTACTGTACTGTACTGTAGTATACTATATCATACAACTGGGTATCTATATTAGAATGTGCTTCTAATCTAGCTGTGCATGGGGAGCTTGTTTCCTGCACCCTGTGGACGTAATGTGTATTCAATCTCCAGTAAATCAATTGTAAGCACGGAAGGAGATGCAAAACATCGGACTGTCCATTTGAGAGTCAACGCGTCCCAGGGCCGCGAGCACCACCGTGATCGTGCCAGAATGCTGCTGGCCCACTACGGAAGCAGTCAAGATAGATCAGTACAGGGAAACAAAAGCTTGCTCGAAGGGGGAAACTTATGAAACTTCTGGGAAGCTGTCAGCCCCAATAGTATTACAGACACCAGAATCAGGGACAATATATGGTCGAGATGCACTCGCCGTTCTGCGCGGTATAGCCGGGGGGGGGGGCAGCCATATGTCTGATCGGGCGGCTCACCGCTCGCCGCGCCCGTGTCGATGATTTTGCTCAGATACCCTCACGACCCTGAAATAATAACGTATCCACGTCCTCGGCGCTATGCCTCAGTCTATGCCACCCATATGCTTATGTTGTTGCAACAAGGTATTACGCCACAACCGATGATACAGTGCGAATATAAGAAGAACCCAGCACATACGACCACAGGGTGTGGAAAATAGGGCTTCCCGTCCGCTCAGCCGTACTCAAGCCACACGCCGGGAGGTTAGTAGTTGGGTGGGTGACCACCAGCGAATCCCTTCTGTTGTATGTTTTTGCCTCCCCATCTTTTCTCTCTTATCTCATCTTTCTTTCTTGGCACTGACAAAAAGAAGTGTCTTAGGCGTTGTCTTGTCCTTCCTTGTATATCCATTTACCTAATGAATATGCACACTTTCCTGCGGTGATATGTCAGATGATCATTGACTAAGGGTTCTTCCATTCAAGCCAACAATACACCCCCGCTTTCAAAGCTTGGCTGCCTTCTCCTCTTGTCGAAAATCCATGAGCAGGACTTCAATGTTGGTAGCTATATTGAGGAATGCAATTCCGGGGATACTATACAGTCCATTCCAACTTTGACATGCGTGCCGTACCCTTTATCGATGGAGTTACTCTAGAGTATCCATAAGACAAGGATCAACGGCATTTAACCCATCTGACGCGCGCATCACACTTTGTGTCTGCCATCCTTCTGGACGTTTTGCCCCTTTTGATCTTCGCTACGTGGAGGGGATACAGACACTGTGCGCTTGTTCCTGCGCTTGTCACTGTAGTGGAAAAGAGACTCGGGCATTCGAGACTGTGATGATGTTACTATGATGACTTGATATGGAGGTTTTGCGAGTTGGATGCTCTTGAGGAATATGACGAACTGATAATTCACTCAGCGCCCGCTCCTACAATAGTCCCGACCCCAAGTTGAGATATTACGGTGGTTCGTCAGTCGTCTCTAACATAATATACTAGTTAAACCACTACCCGAGGGCGAAAGACAACCAAGATCTGTGGAAGCTAGCGAATCGATCTAACTGCCTACGTACACCCCTGTTGCGGTCTCTCAAGGTCCGGGAAATTTTCGTCACACGCTGCAAAGGAGATGGATGGCTGGGCGGCATAGAAAGCACCATACTTCGGATTGAGCTTGTCAAAGGGTGGTGACGGCCCCGTCCGGTTGGAGAACGGCCCACGGTGCGGTGCACTGTGCACGTCGCAGCTTTCGAGAAGCAGCAGGAGAGCATCGAGTCGAGATATCACTTTCGTCCTCTCGTACCCCAGTACCTCAGTCTTGGGGGTTTGGCATAGGATGCTCAACTGGCAAGGATTGCTCTGCATACTTGGTCAGAACCCGTAAGGCAGTTGCAGCTGCGGAGTGGAAACGGACCGTCAAATCGTCAAGCTTGTGCTTGTTGGTACACCAGAAGGAACAGAAGAGGTCATATCCCTTCCGGATGACTCGCAGCACCGAGTAGGTGTTGTTTCCAGAGTCAACTGCCAACATCAGATAGCCATCCTTGTCAACTGATGGGCTCTTCCAACCACTGCCGATCATTTCACCAGCATATATATAGGACCTTCTCCCGATGGATGATATGTCAGCGGCTCAATCCGGCTAAGCCGCTGCGGAGGCTGCCACATCTACTAAAGAGCCCTAGCCTGGATGCTCTCCCACCACCGTCGGAGTGCTCCAAAGATCGCCCGTCGCGTCGGGTCCTGGACCCAGAGGTCTTCCGACTGTCAGTTAAACTGAAGGTGAACCCCCCAGGAAACCGCCGCCCGACGGTCAACTGAGGCGGAGCTCCTGTAAACCATAGCACGGGGCTCAGATCGCGATGCACACAGGGTATCCTGTGCGCATACTGCTGGGATCCCAGTTGATTAAAAGCTTCAAGTTTTCACCAGCGTGACCACTTCTAAGACAATGTGCTGCCGGCATAGACGGGCCAGGGGTCAAGTCTATTTTTTACTCACGATTGCTCTGTTGAGGATTAGTACGCATAATATTTCCTGTTCAGAGCGCGAAAGTCTGTGTATATCATGTCTGCTAGGGACTAAATTACTAGTAACAGCTAAGCTAGAGTTTCGGGGTGCATAGGAGGAGCTGACTTGGATGGAGGTTGGGGTCTAGTAAAATACTGCAGTACTTGATATATTTAGACTATACGTGATGGGTGCTCCGAGACTGTGAGTGAGTCTCTGCTAGCATCACCTTAATCACTCTCTAATAGATCTGTTGCTTGTTTTAAGAGAAAGTCATGTAGCCCTTTAGCAAATATATTATGCAAGTGCAAATAGAACTAGAGAATCTAGAGCTATTCAATCATGATCAAAACTCTTCTTATACTTCTTCACTAGAGGTAAGCTCCGTTTGGGGTTAGGGTCGCGGGCTACGGCTGTCCGCCGGTGCCATATCTGACGCGGCCAGGACTGAGTTGACCAGACTGCTATAGCAGTGTGATATGAGCAATATAATAGTGATACTACGAGTTTGGAGTCCAGTGACAAAATTCGACACATAGGGCTATATCTATCATTCTTCAAGATAGATACTTGGCGCACCAGACCACAAAGGCTGGCAAACCCAGGTTTATGGCTGATGTTGAGGAATGAGATATATTCTCCTTCCTCTTTTATTTCTTCGATTCATATAATCATTGTACGAGCGCTTCGGACACGAGGGGATCACCCGGGCGTGCGGCTGGCCGACGACGCCGTCCATGGCCCGGTTTGCGTCGCTGGTGCAGCACCAGAATATCGAAGAAGCGCGGGTGGTTGGAAGGGCGGGTCACGGACCTGGGGCCCCTGGAGAATGCCGGCAAGATCTTGGTGTTTGCGCAGGTCCAGAAGGGGGGGAGGATCTTGGCGATTAACTTGAGTGTATGGGAGGAGGAATTGCTGGTTGATAGGTCGAAGCTTGAGACGGCGGGGAGGCAGAAGGGTCAAGGGTTGTTGGACATGCTGTGCGCGATGTTGTAGGAGGGGTTGGACAAGCCGTTGGAGGTGCTGGATTGTTAGTAATGTTTAGTGACCATATGGTCCCTTCTGGGGGGAGGGTTAATAGATTTCAGGTTACGTTCGCCAGAAGCCTTCATCCGTGATGGAGACGTTGTACAAAAGAAAAATAGGAAATTCCGACACACCTTGTAAAAATCGATACGAATCATATACAAATACAAATGAGTGGACAAGGCTATCTGATGGGCGGGCGGACGGGCGAGTTTTGCTGAGAAGAACGAGGGTATGGATGGCCGATTTGCCCGCCGCCGCCGCCGCCGCCGACGACGACGACAACGACGACGACCAAGAATATGATAATGAGGATAAATGGAGAGATATTATTAAGGTTGTAGGAACAGACTTTTTGTTGTGTGTGATTTTAAAACACAGTACCCTTGTATTTCATGGGTCTTGACTCAGACGTGGTATACTAAACCCCCGGCACCCAGCGGCAATCGACCATGAAGCCCTAACTACTACCGAATGTTCCAATCTATCAATCCATCCTCCTCTTATTTACCCGCCCCTTCGCCCGGGATATAAAAAGAAACCGACCGTCACCCTGAGTTTTTGCTTGGACCATGCAACCAAGTTTGATCATGTATTTTAATGTATGACTATGTAAAAATTACCCTGACTGAAACCCTATCCTTGGCCATGATCAGCCGCGGGTCACCTTCCCGTCGCTGCACAATCATTCGAAGCTCTGCCCTATCAAGCTTTACGTGCATATTAGCTCAAGGGTAAGAGCAAAATACACAGTCTTGGGTACTGCTAGAATCAATCCAGGCGGAAAAAACTTTTTTCTATTTCTTTTTTTCTCGTTTTCTTTTTTTCTTTTTTTCTCTTCTTTTCTGTATAACAACCCTAACCCAACAAACAGAGAAACACCACGAACAAAACAATAACCAAAAGATACTTTCCCACACCTTCCAGCAACTCTACAGTCAATCAGCCCCATCAAGCCTTAGCAGAAGGACAGACCTTCCCAGGCCCCGGCTTGCCCTTCTCCGGATCATCGACCCACTCCATCTCATAGACATTGTAGTTGATCAGCATGACCTCGATCTTGCCGGCATTTCCATCAATCAAAAAAGTGTCGATACCATCCAGCACCTGCAGGTTATGAACCTTGTCATGGTACTCCCAGCGCTCGGTGACCCAGCCCTGCTTGGGGACGACATGGGTGCCGATGATATTATACTGCGTGGTAGGGAGCACGCTGTTCAGCAGCCGGGCCGACTCCTGGATGCCCTCGTGGTGGTACAGGATGCGGTCAAAGGTGCCGACGAAGGCCATCTTGAGGTCGACCGAGTAGTTGCGCGCGATGTCCAGCGGGATGTCGCCGATGTAGCGGAGCAGGATGTGCTCCCAGTAGACCGCGGCGACGGTGCGGCCTGTGTCGGCCGGCAGCGTGGCCGGGTAGTCACTCACTAAATACTCGAGCACCTCCGGGGGCGGCTTGCTGGCCACATCCTCGATGTTGTCGGACATAATGGCGAACTGCGCCCGCAGCCACTCCTTGCCCTGCGGGAGCCGCGGGTCCGTCACGATCAGCTCCGGATGATGCGCCACGATCCACTCCGCCACCGCGGTGTGCGTCGCGCCTTGGTCCAGCGTCAGCTTGAGGATCGTGTAGCTATCGCTGTCGCGGAGGGTCACGTCCGCCCCCTTGGAGGACAGAAGCTCCACCGCCGGCTGTTGGTTCGCGATCGCCGCCGCCATGATGGGCGTGATGCCGTGGCATTCGGCGCATTTTATGTTGAGGCGCTCGGGCTTCTCTGACAGCAGGCGTTTGATTTCCTCCAGGTTGCCGGCCTTGGCGGCCGCGAAGATGGCGTCGCATTTGGTGATGGGGTCTTCATCGTCTTTGGTTCTTTTGTGGTGGACAGCCTTGCTGTGGACGGGGGTAGGTCCGTTCTGCTGAGGGGCGGAAGGCATTTTGGAGGAGACTGGTTGAAGGGTTTCAAGGATTACGATTGATCTTTGGATTGAAGGCCTTCGTTTCTTTCTGCTTCTGAGGATGGTGAGTTTTAAAAACGTTGACTTGGTGCCTTTTATATCCGGATGCCCTGCATTGGAGAGATGAGAGAGAAGCTCTGTGGCATCTACTGCACTGAACGAAGTCAATGACGTTGGATATACCATTACCAATGCTACATTCTACTGTGCCATTCTGGCTCGAACTAGTAGCACTGTAGCAGCATGACGGCAAAGATGGGGAACGAAGAACCTTCAGACTGAAAACGGATACCTGAGACATGATCTCGATGTTCTATCTATCTCGGCCGGTGATGCTTCCGGCGAGGAGGAAGGTCTGGGCTACCTTGTCACCGTAACAGTCCCAGAGATATGTCTAGAGTCGTTCCAGCTTCGCTGGTAGGGCTACTGGCAGACGTCATGGCGTGAAGCCGTGTTGCATCATGTAGAGATTCATGGCACCTCTGAGGTCTTTGAGGGAGTCACGGCTATCTGAATCTTCTGCATTTGGCAGTTCCGTGTAGTGTAGTTAGGACGAGAGAATTGCTGGATGGCTAGTAGTGAGGTCATGAGGTTGATGCTAGATGTTGATGAATGGCTGCGTTAGCTTGCCAGAGTACTATACTCTACGCAAACGTGTCTGCAGACATGCCCTTCGACCGCAGGCGAGGTATGACTACCAATGACTCCAGAATGCTCTCTGTTCCAGCTCGACAGTCAACTATGTCACTACCAAAAACATCAAGAGCCATGGATTACCGGGTCTGAACTCAGAGGATATTCATGGTCTGACGAGGGGATGATTCTTACGTCGATGATGCTTCGAGGCGTACCCATTGATTGATCCTGCTAGCTAGCTCAGTTTCCTGCGTCAGTAACGATCCAGCCCTAGTTGCGAAAACTTGGTGAACAGTCAAGACAGAGCGAGGATTCTCCACCTGAAATAATGACCGTGGTCGACTCACTGAATAAAGGTCAACTTGAATGAGCAGCTTCAGAAAGCCGCGACAGCAAGGTTTCGAACCCTAAGATGGCACCGCAAACATATTCACTGAAGTGTAGTAGCTGATGCCATTTCCGAGCCAAGTCTAGATCACTCCAGCTCGAGCATCTTTCTCTGATCAGAGCGGGGCCCATTCATTAATGTCAAAACCGACTTTAGCTCATGCAAGCACGTTTTCACTTGGACCACTCAGACAGTAGACCTGAGTTCACTTTTCGGGTTGACCTCTTCTGTGTGATTCCTCAGGGCAAGAAATCGATATCACCATGCGACTGTCTTTGCCCAATGAATCTCCGAGATATTTGTCGGTGAATGTAGTACCTTTAGGGCCTAACGAAAACCGGTATCTCAGTTTCTCAGCAAATTGGAAGAAGTGTCTGGAAAACGGACACCTGAAGATTCCCGAAGATCAACAAGAGCGTGATGGATCTCACTCCCGCAGGCGTAGAGAAGACCTTTGTAGCCACCAAGCAAATAGGATTCCTGTTACTACGGATTCTTACCGCCGTAGTAACCGTATACCTATTAAGATACTCTGTAAGCACCTCTCTTCTTTCCCCGGGTCCTAAGCTGAAACTACATCCCCCCTTAAGCTTCTGCACTCGCAGGGGATCATTAGAGGGCTTTGTCACGTGGTCGATCGGACTCCCTTGTTGTAGATGTTAGGGTTTTTAGAGGTCGCAGTAGTATTATTCGATTTTGAATCAAAGCGACATCTTTTATTACTTTTTTGTATCAAGGTAGTTGAGGAGTATATGCGTATTCGATTCTCTCGCGTGTGGACCCGCCAGCAGATTTCTGATTTGCTTTGCTCAGTAGCCGCAATGTTCTGCCGTACAGGCTGTGCATGTGCATACACAGGACCTGTCACACACCGTGACAAGTGGAAGCCACAAACAATGACATGTCGCAAGGGAATATGATAAGGTGTTCGAGGCTGGCGGGTAGCGCATTCCCTCTTAATTTCTGGGGAAGAAAAAAACATACAACAGAAGGGATTCGCTGGTGGTCACCCACCCAACTACTAACCTCCCGGCGTGTGGCTTGAGTACGGCTGAGCGGACGGGAAGCCCTATTTTCCACACCCTGTGGTCGTATGTACTGGTAGTACCGGTAGAAGATATCATATCTCTACTACAACTCATTGCCACTGAATCAGTGCATGGTTCTCTCAGCTCAGCGGTATAGACATAACTACCTCCGAGGCAGATGCTCATACTCCCACATTCCCCAAAACCTGCATAGGGCTAGCGGATGCAGTGTATCATACAGAACTCCCTAACCCAAATCCTCCACCACTCGCTCATATCTGACCCCAAATAAGCACCTCCACCCCCGTCGCCGGCGACCGCCAGGCCGCCCGGGTGGTCGCTGACCCGGAGATTCCGGCGGTCGGCATGGGATTCGCCCGTCACGGTGGTTTTTTTGGAGAGAGTGAGGGGGTGATCTGGATGATCTCGAATGGAGATCGGCCTTGCTGCACTGGATGGTTGGTAGGGGTGTACTTGGACGTATATTATCCCTACTGATGTACATAGCACACGGCATGGGGGTTTGGCCGTGACAGGTACAGGTACAGTACTTACAACCTTGAAAGCGGAGAATTCATTAATCAAGCTCGAGTCCGTTTGAACTATATGATTCGTAGCCGAGGGAGTTCTTCACAGTACCCGCCGGAGACCCTGCCGAAGGCTAGGGCAAGCGCCATGTTCCCTATTCCCTATATTCAAGGACCCTGACTGGCTTGCAGTCTGCCTCCCGCAGCAGACGGCGAGTGGTTCCTTCCTCAACATCAAGGTGTAGGTTCCGCCGAGCCCAATGAAGAAGTGACCTTGTAGAAGTCCCAAGTCTCGTAGTCTCCCCAAACTTAGTGAATGTTTATCTGTTGCCCAGGACGTAAGGAAAGAACAATGCAGGTTTAAGGTGAATTTACAGGTATAACATGACCATTAACTTACCACTGCCTAATATATCTTCTGCCAGCGCTCATCATTCCAGAACTAATGGTCTTTCTTGTGTGAATAACTCCGTGCTTATGGAAAAGCCTTTATATTCAAGATTTCGCTCTTTCGCAGCACCTTTACTCTCATGCAGTCTGGGACGCCAATTGGACCAACCTCAAACAATTCCGAGCTCTCTCGCCTCATTCCGATGACCAAATTACTAAATTCTCCCTCCTTCGTCGAAGAAGCCGTCCCACCATTTCAATGGTGGACTGGGAAGAGCTTAGTGAGACTGCAAGGCGATACACCAGGCTTTGAGACTAGGCTTACAATCTTGATTTAAAATCATCACATTGCTGTAACGAGAAACTCAGATTATTCCTTATGGTACAATGACCGAACGCGTCCTTGCCACCAGCTCGTTGTGGTGGAGGCCAAACAGCGGGATAGTTTCTTTAATACTCTTAGTCAGATTCTCGGATCCATGGGTATAACCTTTCTACGATTTAGGAGGGTCATCTAATCAGTTTCTAGATTCCGTCCAGCTGCTAAGAGAGTTTTAGGGGAAGAAAAAGCTCGCTTATTATAAAGTTCTAACAGACTCAGAACAGTTTTACTTTATTATTCTTGATAAAAATAGTTAAGTAGAAGCCCCTCTATTCCTAAATCAACAGACTAAGTTTCTAAACTAACAGACAATAGTGCTTGAATATAACGTATAGGTAGAATGCGGGTCAGAGGGACCAAATCTGGGATCTTTTATTATAGATGGCAAAGACTGCCAGCTTCTAATCTTAGAAGACTAACGGGAACAAGAGATCCGGTCGTGCAGAAAGACAGCAGCAATGCATTCTTTATCGTTTCATGTGATAAAAGCACACTGAATGCATCAAACCGGTTTTCAATTCCATCGACCATTGGTCAAATATCGCATCAAATTCCTGCGCATTGACGAAGTATTCTCAGTTATATTCCAACGCAAAGCATATTCTGGATGCCTCAATATAGGCCCCTTTCCGAACCATCCAATATGATCTCCGTTGAGGAAGTTCATCCCGCATGCAATAATCATGCCCTTGTCTTCGGAGCATCCGGGATCACGGGATTGACGATCGTGAATGCCCTGCTTCACGATTACCCCGAGCGCGCAGTTTTCAATCGCATTACGGCGCTGACCAACCGACCCTTGCAGTCTCAGACTTTGTAGTGGCTGTCTTCGCCCATGCTGCAACACGTTGAGGGACTGAATCTGCTCCAAGGAACGCATGAAGAGCCCAACGCCCAAATCAATTCCAGTGTGCCCGACGTGAGTTCCATCACAACCGTCTTCTGCGCGTACCTCGAGGAACGCGACATGGAGGCTAAAACCACAACCAACACAAGACTGCTCAAGAGGGCAGTCTCAGCCGTTGAGGCTCCAAGCTCAGAATTGCGATTCGTGATGATAACCTGGGTGTCAAGGTATGCCGTATGCAAGAGCGTGCACATCTTCTGCACAAATGCTGCGTCTCCACTCCACTAACCACACATTCCTATCAGACCTACGGCCTACAACGACTCGGCAATATTGCCCAGGAAAACGAGCCCCCCCCCCCCCCCCCCCTACCCTGCGGGAGGCACAAGCTTTACTTTCTGGCGCCCTTCGACGACCGTTTCTTCTATTTTCACCAACTGGATTTGTTAAGGCGCCTTCCCGCCCAGTGCCACCGAGCGGGAAAATATAAGGATTTCCTGGTATATGGTGTTTGATCATATGTGAATGGTGAAAATTATTTTTTGACGCGATATGTTCCCGGGTATAGTACAGAAGTACCTGTCTAGTATTAGCCAGCGGGTGCCATGTTTTGTGCCCGCCACTGTCCTATCCCAACAATATTCATGTTGAAGTCTACCTGACTTGCTTGATTTGTGAGATTCTTACTGGGTATCCTATGGTTATTGATTCTAGGTCTGGCTATTGTGAGCGTAGATGACTTAATCGAGTCCCACAATATCGGCACTCCAAGCATTGCTGAACCGCACCATAGAGTCATAGAGTACTGTACAGTCTCGGATATAGCCTTATAACAGAGTTGCCTTCCCTCGAACCCATGGCGCTTGATACCTGTCGCTGAAACAATGAGCGCAGCTGGACTCCCGGGAGCAGATTTCTGTTTTTATCTCTCTTCGATTTTCTTTTTCTCTTGTCATTTCTTCCGTCGGGTGCAATAGCATCTGAGCCGGTCCCTGCCCCGGATGTCGAATCTCAACTCGAATCTTGGCCCGGGATCCGTACTGTTGCCTTGCAGCAAACTCTTTATAAATCGCACAGTTTATTGTTAAGCCTCTGTGGTACTTTTAGTCCAAGCACCGATTACGAGACTCTGCACCGAATTCCCTCACATCAATTGCTACTCTGTACGGTTTTCAACATCTCCATCCTATTCCTGCAAGATGTCGCCACCACTTTCGACGCAGGCCTTGGTAGTGCGACCAGAACAAAAGTCGTTGAGTTTAGAAGAGATCGTTATCGTGGATATTAAGCCTGACGAAATCCTGGTGGAGATTGTCACATCTGGTATCTGTCACACCGACCTACTCGCGATGGATGGGATTCTGCCCATGCCTAGTCCAGGCGTTCTAGGGCATGAAGGTAATGTGACTTATCCAGTCAGCGCGGGACTTGTGTCGCTGCTAACCACCACCACCATAATGATTCCAGGCACCGGAAGGATCAGCAAAGTTGGCGAGGGAGTCCACCATCTCAGTCCGGGCGATCAGGTCATGCTCTCATACAGCTCCTGTGGCTCGTGTGACCACTGCCGATCCAAGCACACCTCCTACTGCGAGAGTTTGCAGGCTCGGAACTCCTCCGGGGCCCGTCATGACGATTCGTCGGCCCTGATGAGCACCTCCGGCGAGAAGCTGTTCAGCAACTGGTTCGGGCAATCATCCTTCAGCAAGCATGCGGTCGTAAACGCCTCGTGTGCGGTTCGCCTGGCGCCTGAGGTCAATCTCGCGACGCTGCCCCCGATGGGCTGCGGGCTCATGACCGGGGCGGGAGCCGTGTTCAACACGCTCGATGTGCAGCCCAACACAAGCCTTGCTGTCTTCGGGGTCGGCGCCGTCGGCCTGTCAGCGATCATGGCCGCAAAGCACCGTGGCGCGCATCCGATCCTGGCGGTAGACCGGATCCCAGAACGACTAGACCTCGCACTCGAGCTGGGCGCAACGCACGTCCTCGACAGTACCCAGGTAGAGGATGTCGGCGGCAAGATCCGACAAGACACCGGCTCCGTTGGGGTTCGGTATGCCCTGGACTGCACAGGCGTGGCGACCGTCATTCGCATGATGATGGATTCCTTGGCGCTGCGCGGGAAAGGCGCCTCCGTCGGCATGCCCTCGTCGGCACCGACGGTCGAACTCGACATTTTGTCGCATCTCTTCGGTGGCAAGCAGTACATTGGCTCGATCCTGGGCGACAATAGTAATCAAGTAGTACGTGTTTCCCGGATGGGGTTGGTCCTAGTTTCTAACACTCTACCTTACACTAGACTAACTAATAGTCCAGCTTATTCCATACCTGCTTGAATTGCACCAAAAGGGAGATTTTCCGGTTGAGCGGCTGGTCACCCATTACGAGGCCAAAGATTACGAGACGGCTTTTGCAGATGTTCGGAATGGGAAGGCTGTCAAAGCTGTGTTGCACTGGGAGGCGTTGTAGGCTTTGTGTCATGTCAACAAGCATTGGTATTTATTGTTTTGTGATCAGAATTAGACAATATGTTGCTATCAATACGATTTGAATGGGGTGACCTGGACAGTAAATGCCTAGACTACTTTAGTACTCTACTGCTGTGTTCGGGTACTGTGTGAATGTTAATTATGACGGGCCATCGTCTCTATCGTACTTGCCACTCTTTATTAAGAATAGATCTTTACGTTCCCCTAGACCAAGATATATCCCTCCGAATCAAACAAGGTCTACCGAGATTGAATGTATTCATCCCAACTGTCCAAATGAACCCCGGGGGTCAAAATCACCGGGAGTACCCAGCTTGGTCCGGTGAACGACTCTACGCACAGGGACAGGATATCACAGCTATCATTGTTCGTGTCCAGGAAAGCGTAGAGTGGACTGTTGGATAAATACCCGGAGGCCTCTGTTTATCAACCGAAAATCAACCACTTACCAGACACCAACACCGACAATGAGCGACTTCCAAAGCTACCGCTCTGCTCTCGTGCAGCATCTCTGCGAATAAGCAACAGCAATGGGTCTGGGCCCAGACTTAGTGGAAAGCTACCGTAAGGTGCGTCAAAGTCCCTTGTCCCTCGCTCCCACCCAAGAGGAATTCAACGACCGGACATCATCTCGAAAATCACATTACGACCTTCACCATAACAGGTCATCGAATACAACATCACGGGCGGAAACTGCCGCCGAGGGAAGTTCGTAGACTCAACGTCTACCATCCTCGTGAGCCGCCAGCTCTCCACGACCGAAGCCCTGCACGCCAATGTGGTGGGCTGGTGCGTCGAGCTCCTCCAGGCGTTTTCCTCCTCACCGACGACCTATCCGATGGGTCCTCGATGCGCCGGGGCAAGCCCTGCTGGTACAAATTGGATGGGGTCGGACAACTAGGTAGGTGGAGTATCGCCCCCCTCCCCCCAGTTCTTCCCAGGACTGCAATTCACACATAACCTGCAACAACCATGCATGCCAGCTCCTGCACAGCGGTATCTTCGTCCTACTCCAGAAATACCCCAATAAAGACCTGGCCATGTACCAATCGCTAGCCAACCTCTTCCACGCCGCGAGCTTCCAGATCTAAGGACACGGTAGCGGCCGCAGCCATACCATGGACCAGCACCGCGCGATCGCCCACCCCAGGACGAGCCACTATATTCTCTTCCCTCCGATTGCGCTGGCGCTGACGCTGCACGGGCGGGGTTCCCCGGAGAACCCGGCCGCGTGCATGCGGCTCGTCCCTCCGATCGGCGAGCCGTACTGTACCAGGCCCAGAACGACTTCTTTGATAGCTACAGTCCGTTGGCAGTCCCGGGGACAAGTGGTCACTCCACCGGGAAAGTCGGAGGCCGATGCCAATACCTGCAACATCCGTCATAATCGAAAAGTGTCTAACAGTGAAATTGCAACTTGTGGTGCATGCATAAACTTCTGTTGCGGTGCGTCAACTATCTGGAGAATTAATGATATCTCTAAAGTATTCTAAAGTTGCTGGGATCCGCTATCCGCACCGACTGGCCGGGGGCAGAAGCGCCGGCTGTCCGGTTCCGCTGCGGGCGCAACGGTGCCCGTGAGTCCTCGCAGGCGCCGATAGACGGCGAGGTATAGCTTTCTGAATGACTCTGAATTGACTCGCAGGGTTCTAGACACGTGAATGGGCAAGTATGCTCAATTTTCTTCGTCTCTTCCCGACCCTCTACCTGGAGGGGAATATCTCGTTGTAGCGCAACGCTGCAGGCGGTCAACAGTCTCTGTGTTGATGTGACTTGTACACTCGGTTCCTAGGGCCAATAGCTGCGAATCCTCCACTTCCGACTGCTGAGCGAGGCTAGGGTATCTCAAGTTGGAATCCGCATAGCGATGCATGTATCTGTATTGGACTATCTGGATTTAATGAGGACGCTCCTGCTGCTGCGATGGCTAGGCGGTTGGCTCGCCATCGGTCTTGTTTTGGACTCCCATTCAAGCCGCTGGATCGAGAGTAGACCTTGAGTCGCGGACGCAGTCGACACCCAGATCCTAACAGGCTTTCGATCGGTCTTCACAGACCCGGTAAAGGCAGAAGGTCTGGATCTGCATCCCAGACCCGCGACGGAGAGACTGGACTCTTCGTCCTCAGGTGACAGTACTGCGCAGACGAACCCGACTACCCCTGGTGGCTCCAGTGCTGACGAGAGCTCGCCTTCCACCGCAAGTTTTCTATTAGAAGAGTGCGATCAGGCAATTGACCAAGACTTGGCTGCCGGAACAGATTCTTATCCGACCAAGGTGGATACTGGATCTCTGTCGCCGTTCGCTCGCACCGGAGAGCAGATCGCCACTCTCCTCGCCGTGGAAGCCGACGAGATTAAGCTCGATGCCCCGGTCGCAGCCCTGGGGGTAAATACCCTGATCGCCACAGCCCTCCGCAAGTGGCTGGCGACAGGCAAAGGTGCGACAGGCCCAATTCCAGTCTCTGAAGGCGGAGTCTACGGCGGACGATTGCCGCCATCGAGCAAATAGATTTCATCTGCTAAGTCTCTTCAGCGCAGGCCTTGCCGCTTTCCAAATAAGAACTATATAAAGCTTTTTCTTTTTATATATGTATATATATATAAAGGTCTTGAACTGCCTGCAAAGTGCCCTACGAACTGCCCTGCGAACTGCCCGGCCGCGCGAGGAAGGCCTTGAACAGCCGCACAAGAAAGGCCTTAAACGGCCCTGCGAACTGCCCTGTAAACTACCCGGCCACGCGAGGAAGGTCTTGAACAGCCGCGCATGGAAGGCCTTAAACAGCCCCATAAGAAAGGCCTTAAACGGCCTGCAAATTACCCGACTGCGTGAGGAAGGTTTTAAACAGCCCTATAAAGAAGATCTTAAACAGCTATATAAAAAAGTCTTTAGAAACTACCCCGAGCGTAGTAAAGATTACTAAGACTTATAATTACTATTTTAAATAATATTATTAAGATTAATCAAAGTATATTTAATTTCTAATATCTTTTATATATCTTAGCTGTATAAAATATCTGTAAATAATAACTTAGATAAGTGTCAGCGCTGCTAAGTAATCCGGCCACGTGATTCCAAAGGCCTTTTCATCTTGTTTACATACGGAACGTAGCTTGTTCAACCAACAAAAAACCAACCAACCAACAAACCATCAAGAATCATATCAAACACGTCCCAGAACCTCCCCTGAAGCCTCTCAGTCCGTTGACAATAAGACTTATAGTTTTTATAGTACTTAAAACTAGTAGCTGTAAGATAAAGCTAAGTAAATCAAAAGTTTCATATATATATATAAATATTTACTTAAATAGTTTATTTCGATCATTCTGCCGGCAGGACACTAAGCAAAAACTCATTTGCCCGATGGCGGCAATCGTCCGCCGTACGGAGTCGCTGCGGTGATTTAATCAGCATGTCATGCATTCTCGGGAAGGCTTGTAGCATGGTCTTATATGGCAGATAGGCATACCAGTCAACCGTAACCTACGTTATTTTTGGAGGATAGGCGAGTTCTGCAAAAAAAAAAAAAAAAAGAACAAAAACAAAAACATACAACAGAAGGGATTCGCTGGTGGTCACCCACCCAACTACTAACCTCCCGGCGTGTGGCTTGAGTACGGCTGAGCGGACGGGAAGCCCTATTTTCCACACCCTGTGGTCGTATGTGTTTGAGGTCTAACTTCACGGAACTATGACTGAACACGCCAATCTTCGAAATGATGGAAGGCTCGCTAGGTGGAAGATCGCGAGTCGCGAACCCGGGAGTGTTTCGCACGGTTCGGCTATACCGAAAGGGTTCTCGGGGATGCTCATTTCGAGGCAGGTGTGGTAGATCGACGATGATGATGGATACTTTGAGTTTGGTGAACTTGGGACTGTGCTTCGCAAGCGAGGACGACCATGGTGACTTGTCCCCGCCTAAAGTGTACTGTAGGGAACCTTCACTTGGAAAACAAGGAACTGGGTTAGTTGACGTGGAAACTCAAAGATTTCAGAAAGAACGACATCAAGGTCCTACCACAACGCAAGCAGTCGGCTCTTGTGTCTGATAACAAAGCATCGGAAAATGTTCGAAGTTGATGAAGGGGCTCGATACTGGCGTCTCGGTCTGTTGGAGAAAATCAGTTGCAATGAGTGTGGTGAGTGGACAAGTTGCCTATGGCTGCTCACAAGAATAGTGCTCATGCTGTGCTCTGCTGTATTGTCCGAAGCGTTCTCGCACCCACTTTCTGCCTCAGGTATCGGTCACCAAGTGATGATACTGTGCTGGGTGGGAGAGCGGCGTCGGTTGTCACCGTGAGATTGCAGTGAGAATGAGGGATCGTAATACATCATGGACGTACCTGGGAATCTACCTAGCAAGTTAGGGCACTAAAGGCTCCAGTCACGGCCGGGGGCTGGTACTGTACACAGCGCTTCAACCAATCAAACCAAACCCCACCAATTTCGACCCACAACCCCACCACCCAAGCTCACCAATACAAATACCTCTCCAAAATCCACCATCTAGGTCTCCAGGAACCCTTCTCCCAAACTGGAACCTAACAACCACCTCCATTTACTACTGTATATAACGCAATATCTCTACAACCACACCCTCGAAATGCCACCACCACCAACAACGAACACCTTCACCCACCCCCCAGCCCTAGACCCCTACACCCTCCCCCTCCCAACCTTCCTCACCACCCCGCACACCCACACCCACACCCTCACCCCAACCACGCACATCGTCACGGGCGCATTAATCTTCAACCCTAATCCTTCAACCACCACCACCAAACTCCCCAACCACCCCCCAGAAAAACAACACATCCTCCTCCTCCGCCGCGCCCCAACCGACTCCTACCCAGGGCGATGGGAAGCCCCCGGCGGCTCCTGCGACGCCACCGACGCCTCCATCCTCGCCGGCGCGGCCCGCGAGGTGTACGAGGAGACCGGGCTGCGGGTGGTACGGTTTCTGGCGCTGGTCGGGGTGGATGCGTGGGAGGTTGTACGGGCAGATGGGGTCAGGAGGGTGGTCAAGTTTACGTTTCTGGTGGATGTTGATCTCGGTCTGTCGATGGGGGTGCAGGGGGTGCAGGGGATGCAGGAAGAGGTTGAGAGGGAGGTTGAGGGAGTGGTCAAAAGTGGAGGCCTGGGGATCAGGCTCGAGCCTGCCGAGCATGATGCGTTTGTGTGGGCGACGGAGGAGGAGGTGCGGGCGGGTGTGGTTTGTTTGCGAGGGCAGAGGGTGGGGATGGAGTTTGTGGGGAGGCAGCGGGAGAATTATCTACGGGGGTTTGAGGCTGTGAGGTCTTTAGAAGGTTGGAAGTAACTGGATTTGGAATGCTGAGGGTAGGGGGGGAGGGAGGGTGTTGATGTATGGTAGCTGGATTTGTGAGGGGATGCTTCCAGGTGTGGTTGGTGCTGGATGTCTGTATGGAGATACTATCTATAAGGTAGTCTGTGGTGAAATCCACGCCTAACTAGAGCATATACATAAATTCTTTATTTACACAGTTATCTAATGAAACGTTGAAATATATCTACTCATCATGCTCGTCAATGTCGCCATTTCCCCTTCCACAAGGGCAATCGCGGCCTACAATCGGTTCCTCCCAATCATCACCGACCCAATAGTCTTCCAAATCAATGTCATACTCCACCCAATCCTGAACCTCATATTCATCCCACACCGTCGTATCCTGCACAAGTCACTCCGACCAAGTGGAGTTCGTCGTTTCGAACAGCACGCGCTTGTAGGTCGTCAGCGGAATCGCGGCGTGATCGGTGACCTCCAAAACGAGGTGGAGAGTCCAGCAGCCGGAGGCGTTGGAGCTCTTTCCGTCGCACACCACGTCCGCGCCGGGAATCGTGACCTGTGCACGTTTCCCGGTCCCAGAAACTGTGAAGTTCAACGTCGGGATCTGGTTGTCCACGTTCCAATCCGTCGAGCCCGGCTCCTTGTACTGGAACCACCGGAACGAGAGGCTATCGCGGTCGGGATCGTAAGTCCCGGACGCATCCAGCGTCACGGTCGCATTGGGCGTCGAGGCGATGACCAGCGGGGTGAGGTCGGTATGCTCGTTCATCACGACCACGGGGTGGTGGTTGGCCTTGCTCTCGTTGGCGGGGAGGGCCCACTGCATGCGGGCGGCGAAGTCATTCTGATACGCATCTCTCCACCGCCAGATGGCCGCGTGGTTGGAGGTGTAGGTCCGGTTGTTCTGGCCGATGACCCGGTCGGCGGCGTCGCTGTACTGCCGGTACTTCACCTGCTGCGAGAGGTCCACCAGGGAGTAGCGGCCGCCCCAGGATCCGTAGTCGGGCTGCTCGCGCACGCCCAGACCGTTCTGGATGAGGTACAAGAACGTCGGGGTGTCCCCCTCCATGATGAACTTGTAGTCTGGGTACTCCTTGCCGTAGGTCCCGATCTGGATGTTCTTCTTCAGCCAGGCGGCGGACACCTTGGTGAAGTCCGGGCCACCGACGTCGAAGTTGTAGTATTCCTCGCCGGAGATGGCAGCCCAGGCGGCCAGGCCGTACTGGTTCCAGCCGTGCATGGAGGCGATGTAGAAGATGTCGGGGAACTGCTCACGGATCCAGAGGCCGCTGTCGTCCTGGTCGGAGATGGTGTAGACGCGCAGCTGGCCGCGGAGACGGGCCGCCTCGGTCGCGTTGAAGTTGTGCTGGACGTAGTACAGGGTCTCGGCAAGCACGTTCACACCGCCCCACCCGAGGACCCACAGGGGTTCATCAACCGGTTGGCGAAGTCGATTGAGCAGCAGCTCTGCGCCCGAACTGAGGTTCTGGCCGGGTCCAACCCCTTGCATTCCGTAAACCTTGATTTGATCAGTGGGGGTCGTGTAACGACGGATGGAATGCTTACAGTTGGGCCTGACTTGACAACACTGTGGAGGTACTCCGCTGAGGGGTATGGGGAGGACGGTGACGTGTGTTGATTCAGGTTGTCGACCACCTCGGCATATGCGTCAACCACTGCCGAGATCTGCTCGGGATACACACTGTCTTTCAGCCAGGTGGAAGTGACGGCAGTCATGCCTTCGATCTGGAACTGATTGCTGTAGAGCAGGAATCGCACGAAGGATTCCGTGTCATCAGGCTCATTGGAGATATCCGAGAGGACAAAGACGCGGGGCTTGGACGCGTAGGTCAGAAGCAAGGAACGGTTGACAGCCGCACTGGCATCTGCCACAAGGGCATTGAGACAACCAAACAGCAGCAAAGAAAGTCGTCTCATGATGGCAATTTATTTGGGGGATGTGACTCTTAAGGAGAAACAGTAACAGAAATTCCCAGCGAGAGGATGGGATTCAAGCCCGTTTATATGGGAGTTGCAGAGACGGCAGAGAACTAAAGCAGTTCTTGGCAGTTGAGAAGGAAACTAGGAAGATGATGAGATGGTATTGCCAGTTGTAGTTATATAGGCTGGGTGAGCCTGGGGTATCCACCGCCTTACCGGATTTAGCGAAGCCGCAGCCGAGCCGACCGACGGAGGGAGACTTCGGCTCCAGCCCAGTCTCCGCACTTCGCAACTTCCCTCGTCTGCCTTGCCATTTCTGCCGTTTCTCCCCGTTCTGCCCGTTTTGCCCGGCTCTTTCGGCTGTGTGTGGGGTAATGCCCCCATAAAGAGGCATTTCTAACCCCCAGCCAGCGGTTGCAATTACCCCATTAGCTTGGGAACGCGAGAGCTCGGAGAGTAACTTTCTCCCCACCGGCACTTGGTGCTGACGATCCTCCACGGGGTACTCCGTACTTCCCACGCCTAATGACCCTGATTCGCCAACAATTCCACTCTCCATAATCCGCACTCATGCAGTGCAGGATTATCCCATGCATTTCCACATTGAAAGTGGGCTAACCCCCGTTACCACTATGACGCGATGGGGCCCCAGTACTGACTTCCCACAGAAATCACGTCACCGCGGAGACATTCCCCGACTCACGTCGCAACACCCGCGCCAGTGAGCGCGAGCTGTCTCCGGTCGGCGGGAAACGGGTTGCCGTGAGTTCGCAACATTACACCGAAATCTGCACCTCGCCGGTTGCAAAGCTCATCACGAAGAACAGAAATGTAACCTTTCATTATCACAGCCGTAATCCCACATCTGTGGTCTGCGATCCCCGGAACAAGTATGCCTTGGGCGTCGCAGAGCACATGTGTCGTCCGTCGTGAAGGCCATCGGCATCCCGAAGTCTCCCGCGACCACGCGAGTTCTTCCGTCAGAGTCGTTCCGACGACACCGGTAGCGGAGAAGGCGGGACCTTGCATAGAGTCGTACAGCGGCATGGAGCACGTACTCGTATTCTACACAAATGGGGAGTGTATCATCACATCACTGATGGAGCTTAACAAATGGCCTCGAAAGCCTCGTGTCAGGCGCTTGGCCATGTATTATGGCGATAGCAGTGGTCATGGACCATAGACCACAGATTGGAGACGACGGAAGGTGAGGCCTGGTTGCAGGGTAGGGTGCTGTATTCACCACTGTAATCGATGTCCCCGGTGGTGTCCAAACATCGGGCGAGAATTTCTTGGCAAGCGTGTAATCCTTGGCAAGGTTGGCGAGACTGATCTCAGCCTTTCGCTGACTATTGAAAGTGGTGTTCTGTACTGGCTGCTCGCGTTGCAGAGTTGGTGAGTAGTCGCGATGTGGATGGAGGCTTCAGGGGCTCCAGCGTACTTATCATATTAAAGAAAGAGAGGAGAGGAGGGATACTGAGATAGGCTAGGGCTGGCGAGCCAGCTGGGGGGCAGACTGCAACAAAGTCGTCTGTGTGAAAGAGTTAGATCATGATAGCATGGTAGCAGCATGGTGGGCAGGTGTAGCGGTACGGACAGTAGTTATACCTACCAGCAGCTTGTTGGTGGTAATAAAGTTTTTCCAGCCTTCCGTTTCAGAACGTAACCTTCCTGCTTGATTCGAGGGATCATCCCTATACCGGCCTAAGTCAGGTAGGCTTGGCAGAGTGGACGATCGGGCCTGAGGGGTACAGTACAACGTCCTATACATGGTAACTCCTCCCTATAAGCACACTCAGGCAGTCAAGTGCTCAAAGTAGTAGCCTCACTTCCCAAGGCCGCTCTCATCGACAATTTGGGAATCGTCAAGTCAGCTAAGATGGCAACAAGATTCATAATCATATCAATCACAGCCAATTATCCTATGTGGTGGCTCCTCTGTGCCCGAGCACTCTTTTATCTTCGTTGGGATGGATCCATCTTCTAGAGCCAGGTACCTGAGCCGCGGAGTATATTTTGTCAACTGTAACATGTTCGTTAAGCAGACACAGTGCACTCTCAGGATCACCACATCATGGATAGGCACGCAATCTCTTCGGCCCTCGGAAGCGTCCGCGATACTTGCCTCCAGCACGTGGCTGCAATAGGGGTAAACTGTCACCACATTTTTCTATGGCACCGCGCCATGGATTTGCAGGAATGTGGTTCTTAGTTCGTTCCTTGATTAGCTAGCCGCTGATCATCCCCTGTTGCCTCCAAGATGGCCAAGACTTCACTACCACGCACATCCCCAGTCACTACGTGCAGTGTGGTTAGTGTTGCTATTCTGTCAAATTCTGAATGTCTCTGTAAGAAAACCAGGACTGAACGCCCGGTCGCATCTGGGCCAGAAGACTAGAGTCCGTGCAGTAAGCAAAGGGTCTCGTTTTTGGGGATTCCAGCGGTCGGTTGTTTCCCGTCTCGGCTGAACTCCGGAGTTTCATGAACCCTACCGTTTCATGGTTCAGGGCTCGAACGTTGATCTCCGCCTCAAACTCAATTGAGGTTCTTTAGTTCCATTCCCCTTCGATGAAGCGCCAACTTCTCCACACCCATCGGGAAACTAACCCGCTTCGAGTCTCGATCAGGGCCCGGACCCTGCCGCACTGGTTTCCTCGTCCGTGCATCTGAAACATATCCCTTCAATAGGGAACGCCTTCCACACTCCCGTCAGAAAATGTTTCACCACGTCCCAATTTTGCGACATCTTTGTTGTTGCATGTCTTAGGAGTACGATGTGTCAATATGATGGATAACAGCTGAATCTTTTTCACAATGCCGAGGTAGCCGGCCGCTGCTGCCTGGGAATGGGAGTATATATCTATGCTGGTTCCCCAAACGTTTAACGGCAGAAGCAGACAGAAGCAGACGAGACAGCAGGGCAGCCTCATCACATTCACTTTTTCCATTCGCTTGATTGAGAAACTTTCGTTCACTATACTCCCGTTCAATTATAACCTTCATTTCGTCGGCATAATGGCCCCTCTCAAGTCCCTCCTCGTTGGTGCCCTTGCTACGCTGGCCGTAGCAACCCCCGTCCCCGCCCCTGCCCCGGAGGCCGGCCAACTCCAGACCCGTCAATTCATGGACTCGAATGATCTCACGTCCGGCTCCTGCAAGGACGTCACCCTGGTCTTTGCGCGTGGATCCACGGAATTGGGCAACATGGTAAGTCGCGCTCTTCTACCGCCCCTGTGTCATCTCAGATTATGCTTTTGCTCGCGCACGGTACTGACCCCCAGAACAGGGTTCAGTCATCGGACCCCCCCTCTGCACCGCCCTGAAGTCCAAGCTTGGCGCCGACAAGGTCGCCTGTCAGGGAGTGGGCGGCCTCTACACTGCCGGACTCATGCAGAATGCCCTGCCGCAGAACACCGATCCCGGAGCCATCTCCGCTGCCAAGAGTATCTTCGAGCAGGCGGCCTCCAAGTGTCCGAACACGAAGATTGTGGCCGGTGGATACAGGTATACCTCTCTTCCCCTCCGCTATTTTACCCACATAGAACACGCACCCCTTTCGAGTTCCACCCAGTCGTGCATGGCTAATATTCCCGGTAAACAGTCAAGGAAGCGCCGTCATCGACAACGCGGTGCAGGCGGTCAGCTCCTCCGTGCGCGACCAGATCAAGGGCGTGGTGCTGTTCGGGTTCACCCGCAACGTCCAGGACCACGGCCAGATCCCCAACTACCCCAAGGATGACGTCAAGGTGTACTGCGCGGTGGGCGATCTGGTCTGCGACGCGACGCTGATTGTGACGGCCGCGCATCTGACCTACGGGCTGGATGCCGGCGATGCGGCGAACTTCTTAGCGTCCAAGGTTAACGCTTAAGTGCTTCGTCGGCGTCGGATTGGCCAAGTATTATCGGTAAGGTTGGGTGGTGGCGGATGGAGGATGAATTATGGGCTTTTATATATGAATCTCTGTTTCGTTTCTTTCTGTTGGCGATTCTCAGGGCTATCCTGGGCGATTTGGTGTTTAGTCTTTTTGGTATACTATATATCTCTTTATCATTCCCTCGAACCCATTGTAAGGCGCTTGGGCAGTAGATGTGGCGTAACTTGTATACTGTCCTCCCACCTGCGACTTCCAACTCAGAACAGTCTAATAAGTGCAGACTGGCGATAGTTTGGTTTGACCTAGAGTTGTAATCTTCGGTTCCAGCAGAGGTTAAGAATCAAGTTACCTGCCGCGAGTGGATAAAAGTTCATCTAGCATCAAGTATTCGGAACACCACGAATGATGGATGCCTGTTGACTAATTTCGGAAAAGAATCAATTAGATAGTGCTTGGTACACCAAAAAAAGCCATAGGTGTGAATCAGGAATCTATGTCGTTGTAATTACTTGAGCAATCAATCGGGGTCTCTCTTCCTCAGCAAAGTGCCGGAAATAACGCGCCGGAGCGGAGTTAAACTTCAGTGCCCGCGGCGCTTCGAGAACCCCGGCTGACACGAGGGTCTGTGGCTTTTGATTCTTCGGCTCACCGCCTGCGAGCCCCCGCAAAAGCACTCACGCGCGTCATCGTCCAAGACGTTTACGAGAACATGAACCAAATTATAATGCCATCGGTAGTTCGTTCTCCTGTAGCTGAGAAACGGAGCCAGATGACATCTCTAATCAAATGAAGGACCCCGAAGGACCGAAGAGATTAGTAGGTGCTGTAAAAGAGCACGGATCGGCTGATGGACGATCTGCGGATATAGGCCCCGCTCTGGAGATAAAGCGGAAGTACTACTGTAAATTAGTGTCTTCAGCCAGCGATAGCCCCTATCCGTTCCAGGTCAACCTGCGACCGAATACGGTTTTAGAAGTGAGGATGGACCCTTGAGTGTCATCCGGGGTTATGTGGTCCGGTGGTTCTGGTACTATGTGATCTACGGCTGGGCGCTGTACACTGTGGAGTTAAGCGGGAATAGAGGTGTCATCAACAAGAAACCTTAAATTTCGGGTGGTCACCCATACAGTTCGGAATCCCCCAAACCCAAGTATAAAATCGGGCACAGATTCCGGGATTGGGGATTCTAAAATACCTCATTCTCATATGCACACACTATACACTCTCATCAAAAGCCATCTATCTTCCAACAATCAATCTACTACTACCGCAGCCATGACCTCTAAATACGCTGCCGCTCATGAATCCCCCAACGGCCCGGGCGACGCGCGCCCCACGGCACAGACCATCATCGACGACCAACAGCTCCGCGACAAGCTCACGGGGAAAAGCATCCTGATCACCGGCTGCTCCTCAGGGATCGGCGTCGAGACCGCGCGCGCCCTCCACACGACCGGCGCGACCCTCTACCTAACGGTGCGCGACACGCAAAAAGCGACGAAGAACCTAGGCGATCTCGCCACCAGCCCGCGGGTGCATCTGCTGCACCTGGACCTCGACTCGCTCGACTCGGTGCGCGCCTGCGCCGCGAACCTCCAATCCCGGAGCCCCGCCCTGCACATCCTGATCGCGAACGCGGGCGTGATGGCGTGCCCCGAGGGCCGAACCGCCGACGGCCTTGAGGCGCAGTTCGGCAGCAACTACGTGGCCCACTTCCTGCTGTTCCAGCTGCTGAAGCCGCTACTGCTGGCGGCGACGACGCCCGCGTTCCACTCGCGCGTCGTCATGGTCTCGTCCGTGGGCCATCGGTTCGGCAACGTCCACCTCGACAATCTGAACCTGGTGGGGGAGTACGAGCCCTGGAAGGCGTACGGGCAGAGCAAGACCGCTATGGTCTGGTTGGCGAATGAGATCGAGCGGCGATACGGGCGTCAGGGCCTCCATGGTCTCAGTCTGCACCCCGGCGGCATCCAGACCGACCTGGCGCGGCACATTTCGGAGGACCAGATTGCGGCGTGGAATGCGGATCGCGAGCTCATGCGCCACTTCAAGAGTCCCGCGCAGGGTGCCGCCACGACGGTTGTGGCTGCTGTGGCTGCGGAGCTGGAGCGTCAGGGCGGGCTGTATCTGGATAATTGCCAGGTCGTGCGGGATGAGCATGACCCGGCTAGCGGGAGGTGGGGTCCTGGGTATGCGTCGTGGGCATTTGATGTGGAGGGACAGAAGAAACTGTGGAAGAAGACTTTGGAGATCCTCCAGTTGCAGGATGAGTGAGTGGGGCGGTACCTGAAGTAGTCATCGCAGTTGGCCGATTGCTGTGGGGATCTACGGCCATCATTCCAAAGACCATCTTCGGATTTGGGATATTGATGTTTATACTGGAAGCGAGTTACCGTGATGTTCTTGATTAAAGCGAATATAAGGTATAATATGATTCCAAGTCAGACTTCATTTATACTCTTTTCCCCGTGTCAAAAACTATTCCGTCCGGCGCTCACACTACTTTGCTGAAGGTGTGTATCGAGCATGTCGATGATAACCCATCGCCCGTGTTGAAGGAAGTCAAAATGCTGCAACGCATGAAGGAATTCGCCAAGGCAGCGGATCAGCCAGGCCTGTGTTTCATCCGCCTCGCTACCGACATCTTTGAGCTGCACACCTCTTCCGGTCGGCATTATTGTATCGCGGTCAAGCCCCAGAGCCACAGCTTGCGCACGCTACAGACAACTTACCCATACGCTATCGAACCGATGCTTCTAGTACGTTCACTCGTGCATCGGCTGTTTTTTGCGATCAATTGGCTCCATGCCACCTGCAGCTTCATCCACACACGTTCGATCGGAACTCATGTGCAGTACACTCATTCTGGTTCATAGATATCTCCCCCCTGAACGTTCCCTCCAATGGCGATAGCGGACGATGCTAGTCTCAGGGACATCGAACAGCGAGATGCCCAAAACCACAGCATCTCTATCATCTGTGAATTCTCAGGCGCTCCTGTCTATTCAACCATACCCAATCGTCTTTCTTATAAATCGGGGCGGCCTGTCGTCCTTAATTCGTTTGCTCCTCTTGCCGAGCTTGCGCGAAGGCAAGAGCCGCTTGGGCCCAGTCTATAGCTTCTCGAGGACGCTTTACAAACGTTTCGTCAGCTATCTTAGGCGGTATTAAGGCGTCTTGATCCTGACTTCCTTCATCGATATCGATCGGGTCGATATGGTAACCATGTGTAATGAAGAAGAGTGAGATCCCTGTTGACGCGGCATTGCGGTTATTGATAGCGACAGCAACTATTTGCAATAGCTCCTTCCAATTATCTTGGGAATATGTAAATAATTCACGTAGGATCCGTTTAATCTTTTGGTTTGCCCGCTCTGTGGAACCGTCATAGTGCGGGTGGGAAGCAGTAGATAATCGACGTTGTATCGATAGCTTCTCGCAGACCTTTCTCCAGGAGGCACTAAAAGATCGGGGGCCATGGTCACTGACGATCGCTAGTGGTAGACCGTGGTGCATATAGACCTGGGTTAAGAATACTTCAGCAACACGTTCTGCTGTTGTTTCGTAGATTCCAACAAGAATCGCACCTTTTATTAACCGGTCCGTTATCACCATACAGTTAGTGGTTCCTGATGGTCCTGAAGGTGGTAGATCCGTAGTAAAATCTACTGAGATTTCGGCCCAGATTCGTTGGGGAATCGGTAGTGGTTTCAATAATCCATGTTTTGTATCTCGCCATACTGTACTACGTCCGCAGACTGTACAGTTTCTTAGGACGCGTCGTACATCCTTTGCCGCTCCTTGCCAGAAAAACCGTCGAGATAGTATAGAATAGGCAGCGGCTCGTCTTGGGCTTTCAGTAACATGGGAGTCGCGGATCTTCTGTATAATCCTTATACGCAAGGTTTCGTTGTCGGGGATCCAGATTTGCTGTCGGAAGTGAATTACTCCGATCATCTAAGTGGCCCTCTGACGGGCTTGTCTTGATATTGTTTTCTGCAGCGATTCGGCGTTTCTCCTTTTGCAAGCTTGGGAGATTCGTTGGTATATTGTATTCGCTGCTGTAGCCTTCTTCCATTGCATTTGTAACTCTGATTCTTCGAAAAAGAGGGATATTGTGTTCGAAATTCAGGTCTGCCGTCAGGGAGTCTCCAGTTCCTGGGGGGCTGACCGTCCATTTCTTATCTGGACCCTTTTGAGGAGAATTCTGAACCGATTCGATAGCCTTTCGTCGGTGATTCCTTTGGTGTGTCTTGACTTCGTCGCGATAACGCATCCTGTCGGGCCGCTAGTTTGCCTGGTCGATATATAAGCTCAGAATTGAACTCAGTTAGAAGATCTGGCCAATGTATCTGTCGCTGGTTAAGTTGCTGCGCCATTCCGAAGTACCGTAGATTTTAACGATCGGTTACTATAGTGAATCGTGGAACCATATTTGACTCCGGCCTCCATTCATGTAGAATACGTACGATAGCCAATTGCTCTTGATCATGGGATCTCATAGTTTGACTCTGCTGGTGATAGTTTTGGGGATAGATAGGCACACTGTCGTAGCTGCCCGTCGGGTCCGTACTAGGATAGAACTGCGCCTGTAACCCAACCGGAGGCATCCGCTTCGACAACCGTTCGACGTCCTTCGTCGAAGTGTGCTAGTATTGGGGCTTTGATGAAGAGATTCTTCAATTCCGCAAAGGCCTGTTGACAGTCTTCATCCCATTTGGTCTAATCTCTTTATAAAAGAAGAGCCTGGGATGTGCAATGCCTATATACTATTACTTCCTGCCATATGATTTCTAGATTATTCAGTTATTACCGGCCATCTTGCTAATAATACTAGTCTATATGTGCCTATATATACGCGAAAGGGGGGCGCCAACAGGATACAACCTACGTAGGTAGCATAACCAATCTTTCGCCTCGACATCAAACACGATCAAGTGCCAAATCTCCAGATTAGCTGCCGTTTAACGCCGAGATCCTTTCGTTGAGATATATAAACCTGACAATCTCCGGTATTCTAGTTCTTATAAAAGATTTCAAGTTCAACTGTTTAGGAAAACTAGATATACTAAAGGCTGGTCTTAAAGAGCCCAAAATAGCTCGGGGCTCATAACCTGTGGCGAATTCAACAGTGCCTAGGAATAGGAATAGAATATGTAGACGATATCTCAATATCTTAGCAGTTGAATAATTAGTTAGTTGATAAACTAGTTAAGATCTCAAGATGGGCATCGCCTTATTTCACGTGACCGAATTACTGCTAGGCCGGCCAAGTAGAAGTCATACCAGCCTGGAGTATAGATTTTGAGAAACATGCTGCGAGATCAGCAACCCAATTTTCGAAGTCAAGTCGGACTGAGGAGATACAACATTTGCAGTTTATCTTTGTCTGAGTATCTTCACGCTTTCTCAATTCACAAACTACTTCAAATACCGACTTGACACCTACGGGTCAGATCCGCGCCAGGCAAAAAGAGCCAAACACTTAAGATCTCACGGCAAAATGACTTCCCGTGGCTGTGGTCGGGATTTTGTACGCTGAGTATAGCAGACAGTTGTTCCGAACCTGGGGCAGGACCTGCGCGACCTTGCAGCTGGCGACCTTGGCACATTCGTCCACACACGCAGGCAAGCCCGTCACAGTGATCCCGGGCTTGCTGAGAAGGCCTTGGCCCGAAACTAGCCGAAAGCAATGTGATTTTAGCCCTAACTTCCAAAGCCATGCTGGGTTCTGACGGGCTGAACGAGGAAAATGGGAAAACTTACCATAATTGCAACTGACAGCCCACTGAGAACCGCTCTGGTGTGTATTGCTTATGGTGATAGGGTTTGTCACGCCACGGCCTGTGGAGGGAGAATCCTCGATGTTAGTTTTTGTTTTCTTTTTCGTTCTCTCCTCGGTCTTGAACCAGGAATGGAAAAGCTTACAGTCGGAGACCTGGCCACCGCCGCCACCAGAACCACCAGAACCACCAGAACTAGCCTTACATGTTGCAAGATCCGCCTCGAACTTATCCCGCGCAATCACACACGCATCCAGCTGCGTCTGTAGTTCATCCCGCTCCTTCTCCAAATCATCTCGCTCTACACAGCAGAAGCTGTCCGGCGGAGGCGGGGTGACGATCTTCTCGAAAAAAATCGCCCTCGGCTCGGGGTGCGGTGGACCTTTGCTGGCGGTGGCACACGTGCCCGATCTCAACCAGGTCACCCCGATGTCTGCGGCACTGGCATAGGTGGCACAAGTGGCGGGCGCGGCGATGCCGCTCTTGCGGTTGCTCATGTCGTTGGTCGTCGCCCGGTGGTTGCAGTAGTAGGTGTACTGCTCGCCGTTGAGCATGGTAGTGCCGACAGTGGTGTCTAAGTTTCCGGCGGGGCAGAGGACATCGAAATTCTGTTGCGAGGTGGTTTGACCCACCACCAGGAGGGGAAGAGGAAGAATGCTGAAGAAAAGAGAGACTTTCATGTTGGGAACGAAGTATATTCTCGAGGGGAAGGTGGACTGGGAATGCTGTGATGGAAGACAAGGGAGAATGGGGATGATGGAGGCTGTTGGGATTTATAAGTCCAATCTTTTCAGAAATTGGATTTAGGGCGCTGAAGGGTACGACCAGGTACACAGGTCACCCTCCCTATACATTCTGTATTGAGTATAGAGTCCCTGGAGCCGGGTTTGACCTGCTAGTGGTTACTGCATATAGTGTTCTGCACAGATCATCATTATTAATACGAGGCGAGGAGAGGATGCCTTGCTACGAGGGATTGCTTTTCTTGCCCGGGTGTAGATCATTCTCGTCTAGTAGGACCCATTCTCAAAAGAAAACATTTTTCTGAATGCGGGTCTCAGCTGCATGAGAGATCAATACAGTTGATACGGTATACGCTGGTATTCCTGTCGGTGAAATCATCTCAGCTGCAGGTGTCTGTCCTGTCACTCGAAACTACAGCTGCTGCTTTAGAGTCCCCAGCGAGAGAAACATTGAGAGACAAACCGACTCGACAGATCATGAAAGCGGTCCATGAGTGACACTATTCTCATTGCTCTCTACCTTGCAAGTGAGGACGCCTTAGTGGTCTGATATCAATCTCAATCCTTGAATTCACTTCTCACCGCATCCTCTACCCTTGGTATTGATAAGACAATCATCTAGACAATACGATATAGCACAATGACACAGCACACAGCACAAACAAAAAGCCTAAGCCCTCTGAAACCCTCCCACCCTTTCATCCCCCTCCCTGAAAATCCAACTCCATACATTTAATCCAACCTTCAACCCCCCCGTAACTGGTAAGCCCGCATGGACCATCTCTTCGTATACGCTCCCATCGGGCCCGATGTTCTCCCAGAATAACGCATTCCCCGCGATGGGCCGGAACACCGTCCCATTCTCCACACAGTCACAATCTAGCACCCGGTCACAGAGAGCAGGATCCTCCCACCGAGGGATCATCGGGAAATGCGTACCCCCACCCGTACAATTTCCATCCAACCAGATATTTAACGTGGTCCTACGGTTTGGAAACCCCCCAGCTGGAAGCGCGTCGAGGTGGTGCAGGAAGAAGCCGTCCTTCTCGTAGCGTTGCACCGTCAGCGGCTCAAGAGCCATGTTAGGGTTCCAGTGCTGGATCGCGGCGGCGCGGCTTTCGATGCATCTGGTGACAGGATCGCGGGGAAGTGAGGCGGTAACGCTGCGACGGTATGTATTGTCTGTGGTGGCCTCGTTGGTTTCTGGGTTGTATATTGAGGCAGGGGTGAAACCGGGTTCGCTTTTTTTTTACCGTAGGCGTGAGTGAAAGAGTTGACAGTGAAGAGAGGATGAAAAGTTAGGGGGAAGAACCTTTTTTCAAGAAGATGAAGACGCTCGTCTTCGCGGAGGAAGGACTCGATGTAAATCATGCGGGGACTTTCGGCAATCAAATAGGCTTGGAATTCATGATCGGGGCAGTCAATCGAAGAGTCGGGTTGAATGAATTTGAGGAAGCTGGAGGGATGTTCCGTAGGCAGTGGAGTCTGAGTGGTGGTGGATGCGACAGGGATGTGACTTCCTATCGAGAAGAATTGATTGTTGTCTCCCAGAGACACGCCGTGGATGTATGAGCCTGACACATGGAGATGTAATGGGATCACTATTGACATCTTTGAGAAGACTTTCCCCCGCGACTTGGACAGAAACTTTCTGGACGAGACAAGAAAAGAAATTGAAAAAGAGTGACGGGATAACAGCGAGAGTCAATGGACCCCGAAGATTCCGGCTCTGTTGATTTTGACACGTACAGAGGGGCCAGGACAGCTCACTACGCTAGAGTTTCGCGTAAGTATGCCGGTATGGACCGACCCGCATGGCGGGGTCCGTATATAAGACCTGCGATCGATCTGGACCGATTGTGACCCCGATCGACGATCTTTCCCCGGATAGGTGAAATTTGGAAATCATTTCCGATCCCGAGTGCTACACCCGTGCACGTATCCTATAAAGCATGCATAACACCAAGCTTAATTAGGAGGATTGATGGGATATCACTTGGTGCAATTGGCGCCCTCCCAGCTGAGTCCTAGACTACTAGTACTAGCTGCAGGTGCAGCTTCAGCTCCAGCTCCCAACTACCCTATCCGTGTGATCTGTGAATGTAGAATCTGCTAAGCTGGCACTTGGAACTTGTCTCCTGCATACCTGTGTATTAGCCCGTAACAGTACACTCTGTACTGTAAGTTACCAGTCGGTATCATGGCTGTAATTGTAGCCCCCCTATCTGGAATTCGATTGAGTTTTCCGAGGTTTACTGCCATTTGAGACCCGAGACAAGACATTGACCAACAAGCATGATAGAAGTGGGATATTCTTTATTCCCTCCATGGTATTATCCATTTGCTTCACTGAGTCAGTTCAGAGGAGGCATTTTCCCCGCTAGAGGCATCGTAGTCTTCTCCGACTTCCATACTTAACACTTCTACTATTCTCAAAAGCAGTGTGATTGAGTACAATTTTCCCAGTGACTCCAAGAGCCAAAAGTACACTGAACAATAAAAGAGAATCCATAGCTTTGCTTGACGTATTCTCACGAAATAACACAAAGTTCACAGACAGCAAAAATGGAAAAGAACCCAGTTCCACCGCTTGATATTCGGTTCCACCCAGGCAGTTCCGGCAATACCACAAAGAAAAAGCTCATTCTTGTCCTAAGACTATCAGAATTGGCCTTTCTGTATATCCAATCCTGAGTTGCCTGGTTAATAACACCCCTGGAAAGCCCCATTTGCATCAAATGACGGAAACAATCCACCCAGAGCCGCGCAGCTGGCAAAGTTAGGATCGCCTTGATTGACGGCGCACGGAGTACACCCGCTCCCACCACCACTGCCGCCACCACCGGTTTTAATTGGGATGTTGAGCGGAATCCATGGCATGCGGAAGAGAAAGGCCGATGCCCCCGGTGAGAGGAAAATGAGGGCGAGAGTTACTGCTGTCAGGCGCATTGTGGAGGGTACTGTGAGGGCGGGATGGGTTTGATTTTGGAGAAGCTAAAGAAGGGAATTGAGTCAGCGAAGCTGTTTTCTTTGATTCTTGTGAAAGGGCAGCGGAGATGCCGGCGTTCACCTTTGAGGAATAGAAGATGAAAGCGTCGCTTTCTAAACCCTGACAGGGGAATGCGAGTATAGGGAGGGGTACTGAAGACTTCTTCTGTGTAGATGTAGAGACAATGGAGGTTTCCGAGAGAGTCTTGAGCTACATGGAGCAAATGTACTCAAAGTCTTCCGCGCGATACTTATGACTCCCAGTGATCGAGTCGAGTTGGGGCATGGATTTACCGTTCGTATGCGTATGTATGAAAAGAATTACATTACCCGGTGGGTCTAGGATTGCTCTAGCATTTTTTGACCGACTAACTTCACTCCACGGAGAGAGTAAAAAAGAAATATATAAAAGAAAAATGGGCGGGGACACAGGTAAGAGAAACAGACACAATGGGCGAAGATGAAAATTTTTGTGGATCTATGACTGGTTTGAAAGTCTTGCAGCAATGCTATATTGGGAGAATGGTCAATACCCTGGAATATTGATTACTCGCATGCAAAACGGTATAAGCCCGGTCAAAACCATGAATTCATTCCTCTCGCCTGCCTTTATGCAGAAAGCAAGGTGTTCTTCTTCCAGTCTAATTCACAGATATATTGACCTCTGGTAAATTCTATCTCTGGCCACCAACTGATCTTGCCGATTACCTGCTACAAAACAACGCACAGTCGCGTTTTCTGTACCTGCCATCTGTCCATCATCTCCTCATCTACTGACAAAGCCAAACTCTGTTATTGTTCAACCGCAATCATGAAGACATGGACGCCTTTTGGTCGGGCCGTGATGGTCCTTGGTGTTTTACTGCTTCTTGTGATGATGGTTGCGTCACAAGACACTGGAGGCTTCGACGACGATGATACTGGAGGCTTTGACGACGATGATACCGGCAGTTTCGACGATGATGATGATACCGGAGGCTTTGACGACGATGATACTGGCGGTTTCGACGATGACGATGATACCGGTGGCTTTGACGACGATATCTGCCCAGCCATCCATGAATCTGCTGAAAACCTGTTGCCTCCTCTCGCCGGAAGACAATACACTTGCGGGACCTGTGAGTGCTCTTGTCCTCTCTCTGCCGACGATGATAGATACTGATTTCTCGCACGCATAGACAACGGGCACTTGTACGAAGCTTCAGATGGGCACCACTTCTACATGCAATGTTGCACGAATATTCCCGGTGTTGCTCCCTTCTACGGTCTCTTTGCCGCTGACTTCGGGTCATGCATGGATTTCTGTGCCCAGGAGCCTACAGGCCAGTGCAGAAGGTATGTATCGTCTTTCGCAACCCTAATTGGCATTAGGGTTATACGATATTCAGCGAGTGTTGACATGCACAGCGTCGGATTCGACTCGAACCCCGCCCCAGGCGACACGGAAAACTGCGTTTTGTTCAAAACAGGGGATTTTCTGTCCACCGATCACGAGAAGTATCACTATGCCTTCCTGGCTGAAGCCCCCACAGCCGATCACCCCGACGATGAGATTAAGCTCTGCACCACGGAGTGTCCAGGGTCGCATAATCAGGTTTACACTACACCCTACGGCAAGGTATGCAGTTCTTGATATCAGAGCCTGCTTTATAAATTGAGGGCTAACAACTGTCTTAGACTATGAGGATGGTCTGCGGTAAGAGGCACGGGGTGCAGTCTGTGGTTGAGAATGTCGCGTCGTGGGAGGAGTGTATGGACTTGTGCGGCAAACTGGTCCCGTGTCAAAGTGTCGACTACCACAGCCGCAAGAGACGTTGCTACATCGGGGACCACGCAGGAGAGCCAAGCATCGACGCCCCTGGCTTCAGCGCCGCCTACAACATGGGCTGTGCCGGCGCCTGCTGCAATTTCCCCAAGCCGGGGACATCTCCGTCTACTCCATCTACTCCGTCCGCATCTCCGACTGCTTCGGTCAAACCCATACCTCCACCTGCAGTTGTGGCGCTGCCACATGGAGATCCCTGCCCAAGCTTACATGACACTGAGCTGATCGTCAACTCTGAAAAGTGGCAAATCAAGTGCGACTACGTCGACGGGTATGCCAACGGGGGGTATAACTTCCCTATGGACAAGACTGCTACCTTAGAGGAATGCGTGCAAAACTGCCAGAACGAGCCCAAGTGTGTGTGGGCAGAGTATCGCCCCAGTGATCAGTACTGTGGTGCCCAAGTCAACGACTACTCAAAAGCTACTATGCTTAATCAGCGTCAGGCACAGGCACATTTCAACATCATTCCATTGTAGTGTGGTTGAATAACAGAATCGGGGGTAAGCAGATCATCAAGTATTTGGCCTGGGACCAATTTGTTGGTATCTCTCTCGATGTGTGCATTCGCGTGTGTTTTTGAATTTCACTTGAATTCTGTCGCTCCTGTTACTAAGAGCAGATTCCTATCGAGTCAATTTCCCTGTGGTAGAACTCGTATAAAATCAAGATCATGCTTTTTCTACATAAAAACTTCTGCTCAGAAGACTTTCTTATTCGGACTTGTTCGATGCCTACACACGTCTCTCCTTAGACCGAACTTTTGAAAGCGCGGTTTGCTTTATAATCTGCGCAGGTAGCTACATCATCTACATGCCATAACAATCATGAGCCCGTCGCCACTCAGTAATAAATCTCTTATTGCAATGCAGCAGAATCCTGTCTGACCTAGCTCGCAATACGTATTGTCTCAGTCGATCCCCTCGCCTACATGATGATCTGCAGCTTGACACGTAACAGGCACTTTATTTAGTAATTCCTAACTAGTTGCCAGTCAGGCTAGCCCGTCCCATAATACCACAAAACTAGGGTTGGCGAAGATCGTAAGATATATACCACATCAGGCATGGGAAGCTGACATTTACCCCGTCATACAGCATGAACATTGTTTCGGTTATGCTGTATTGTGCTTACAGTACAATGTATATGCAGGCCTGCGTCAGAAAGCATTAGCCCATACCACACTGCATTCAACTTCTGCTAGTGGGGCTCTAGATTGGCAATTCACTCCCTCGCATTACAGAGTGAAGGGGAGGTAAGTACAGTACGAAGTACACCTTGCCGACCCAGCTTCGAGAAATCGACATTCCGGAAATCGGCCACTAATCAAGATCTGCAGTCTCAACCTTTATGCCATCCCTGTACAAACATGCAGCCATCTCTTGGAAACAGTGGAATGTGACTGCCGGACATCAAATCCAACTTTTTGATTGACAAGTCCATTTGCCAGTCTGGGTAGAGTGTAGTGGCTGGCTGAAGATGCGGATCCAAACTGGGGCATGCATGTCCAGACTGGGAATATGCTCCAGTTGACCTTGAAATTAATTTATGCCATACCGCTTTTCTTTATTGCTCAGAGCATAATTAAATGCAGGCATTGGTTGTATCTTACAAAAGTAACTATGTATTAGAAGATACAGATATGGCCAACTTACTTGCGCAGTCACCTCGTTTACCGATCACGTTACAGAGCAGTAGTCAAGAGTTACGCCTTATCTATCACTTCTTCGCCGGTACTTTCAGTGAATGTCATTATCCCCGTTCCTCTCTTACAGCTCGGTCGGTCTGTTGGTATTGCTTTTACTCTTTCTCCAAGTTTTCCCTTTAATTCAAGTATCCCAGCAGCCCTTCACCACCTACCCCAGATCCTCTTTTCCTTGCGAAACAACACCCTAGACATCCCTCCCTTCTGGCCCAAGATGCCCCTCAAATCCATCGCAGCCTTCTATATCCCTCTAGCACTCGCCTTCAATCAAGTCGAGGGCCGTTGTTTCCACCCTCTCTTTACTTCCGAACCGGATATCACCGATGTCGTGACCAATCCCTCGTGCCCGGGTGGTGAGTTCTAATCTCTTCGACTACCCGACTCAGTTATCCTTCTTTCCAGCAACCCTCTCGATCAATCTATTGTAAAGAACTAACCCTGTAGTTCAGACTACGGCAAACTAATCCAAGCCAGCGACGGCGGCTACTTCCGACTCCTGTGCTGCACTCACCAACCGAACGGGATCAAGAGCGTGGGCAGTGAGAAAAACGTGGCTTCGTACCAAGACTGCCTGGATATATGCCTGAGTGATGCGCACCCAGACTGCGATAGGTGAGAGATAACTCCATCCTCGCCCCCCTTCCGCACCCTCCTCACCGATTCATTCTCTTTTCAAATACCAAAATACACTCTGAACCTAAAGCTCGAATGATTGTAATGGTAATGGGGTAGTGTAACCTACGACACCTCCAAGAACTGCGGCCTCTACCAGAACGGGGGCTTCAGCACTGAACCCTGCAGCAACACCGAACACGATTGGCTCTACTACATCGACCCGCCACCATCCGATGAACCCGCCCCAAACGATCAGATCGTTTCCTGCTCCACCGAATGTCCCACAGCGCATGGCCAGAAATACGTCTCGGAATATGGCGAGGTGAGTTTTTGGTCCTCCCCTAACAAGTATTGATCCCCCGTCACCGTGGTTCCTAGCCCTAACAAAGAAACCCTTAACCAGCTCTTTCACATGGAATGCGGCAAACGCCACGGCACGGTCTCGTTCAAGAATGAAACCCAGCCGACTTACCGGGATTGTATCGACGCTTGCGCCGAGATCCCCAAGTGTGCGAGCGTAGACTACTCAAACCGCACGCTGACGTGCTACTACGGAACGCATTCGGGGGCGCCGCCTGTCGTCGCGCCGGGATATTTTAGTGCGTATTCGCTGGGGTGTGCTGGGGCATGTGAGAAGGATGGGGAGGGAGAGGGGTGCTGTGGCTGCGAGCCGAAGAAGTGTCGGGGTCGGGGGGCCGGAGCGAGAAAAAGCCATGATGAGCTGTAGATTTTAAGTTGATGTACTTGTTGTACTGGCTGCATGAAGATGGTAGCGAGTAGGTGTTGATCTTCAGGGTGGGTAGTTTGCTGTGTTTTGGGTTCGGCTTTATCATTGTTAATCGATCTGAGGAGAGGGGGAGAGGAAGGGGGCAGGTTCTAAAGGACTGAGATATGGAAATTCTCAGAAAGTGTCAAATATCATAAATAGATAAGATATATTTGGTTTTGCTGACCCTGACATATACTAATAAAAGAAGTAGAAGTATCTAATATACTTCTATTGAATGGGCCAAAGCTGAACACTTGTATGGTGTGTCACTTCCGACTTCCTCAATACAGTCATAAATTGAGATGAGACTGTGCAGTGCCTGTAAGAATAAGACACCCTGGGATCAAGCAGTATGTGGATATGTGAGTACTACGCGGAGCTGTAGCAGGCTTCAATTTCCGTTCTCAGCTAGTATACTTCATCTTCCGTCGGTTGATAGTATGTAGGTTAACTGGCTCTTTTTGATATCACCATCACATTCTTAAATCCAATCCATACTAGCTGAGAAAGCAAGTGTGCTTTGTATAGACAGATAATATATAATCCTTGGCGTAAGTGTGGCGATCATGTATAGATGTTTATTTTCCTTATCTTACTTGATAAATTCTACTGTCTATCTATCGTATCATCGCACCTTAAAAAATGGCTTTTAATAAACCTATACTAACAATTTATAGATTTTTAAGCTTTCTTAAAATACCTTCTAAAATGTCAGCTTTGCTAAGTAATCCGGCCGTACTTCTAGTCTTTAACTATTTACAGAGGCCAGATGCCTCCAACCCCTTGCTCGCTTAATATTGACGATCATGCTGACTAGTATCATATTGCACCTACAACCACCTCGCTATGGAAATGGTAGTTTTTTGATCATAGCCGAGCAGCCCGGCTATTGAGCTAGCCGCAGTCCGCCCTATTTTCACGCAGTCTTTATAGATATTTGGTCAGTGAGTTTGACCTCCGCCTAAGTAAAAAGGTGCATGGCGCACACTATCCAGACATTAGGGTTCTCCGGATGATTTAAGAAGCAGTAGCAGAATTAATCTATCTGGTTAAACGACCAGTTGCTCTTGTTTAGCACATATTACTAGATTTATTAATCTCTTGCCTTTTGTTTCAGTTACGATTTGTCTAAAACAGATTATACAGAGATTTTTAAACTTACTGTAAAGCAAGTATTACATATCCCTCCAGTCTTAAAGAAATAGATATTATATAGGATTTTGCTCAATCTTTCAACAAATACACAATCAACTGGTTTATTACTCTTTTGCTCTTTTTTACTGGATGACTGCTTAGAGCACTTACCTTTCAAGTTGGGGTGCTGCTATTCTGCACTACCCTACCTAGAATGAGAATTCCTGGATCCGTGCTACTGTTCTACAAATATATGTAGATAGTATCTTGTTGTTGGAGGATTTACGTCAAGGGCCAAAGAACTGAAGCCATAGAAGTTTCGTTGATTGGTTGATTGCAAGGAACTAGCTACGGCTACGTGGTGTTTTCATGTCTCCGCGTCACGTGATCCCGGAGACACTAGGCCACACGCGCCGACACTTGTCCTGGAGTTTCTGATTTTGGATGCATCTGCCCTATCCCGCTGTGCTCCCTTCACCGTGGGGCTCTTTTCTTTTGAGCTACTGAATAGCGTGCTTTACACTGGAGACTACCCCTCTCTTTCTCTGCAAAGTACACTACAAGAAATCAGCACTCAAGTGAAATTCGAACAGAAACTCGTTCGTACCTAAATGTAAGTAATAATTAAGAATTTGTGCTTAAGAAGTATTGCTCTTCCAGCTCTCAGCCTTAAATTGAGTCACACTTGGCAGCCACAGTACTATAAATGTGCAGGCTGTGATGAACCTGCAGTAGTCCTACTGTAGCCTTATATCTAAGGCTTGTTCATTTGCCACCCTTCTATAGTAGGCTTCTCGATTTCCTGAAATCCTGATTGTTATTTTATATAAACAGCCTTATGTTTCAGCTCGCGAACAGTCTTTTTTAAAGATTCTTACAATTTTTATTCTTGAAACTCATTAACTGAGTCGAATCATGTCTGGTTGGCGTTTGCTGAAGCTACAGATGCTCTACCCTAACCGACGGCAACCCCCTAAATATGATGGAAGAGTAATAACTTGTTCCACCGAAAGTGTGTCTCGGCTCTATGTACAATAGTATGAAGGCAAGAATAATGGAATCCGTACATCACTTCTCTCTCTCTTCCTCTCCCCTTGTGTGTAGGTGGTCGATGTTTCCATTCAAGCCGAATTCTCCACATGCAGCATCACCCCGGGTAGACCCGACCCCTTGGAGACCCCAAGTCCATCGGAAACTCTGACAACCGACTGCCGCACGGCGACGGTCAGTGCGATCGGACCGCAGCACGCGACCGCCACCTCGCCATTGGCTTGCAGCACCGCTGCCTCGATATACGCGTCGAAGGTGGGCCTCCCGGTCTGCACTGAGACCCCCGGCATGTTCAGCGACAGCTGATCAGCGGCGGCAGCCGGGCCGGCGGCCGGCTTTTCGCTGCCGTAGAAATCGCAGCCCGCTTGGGGGTTGTCGTTTGTAGTCTCGATCGCAGTATCTTCTTCTTTTTCTTTTGCTTCTTTTTCTTTTTCTTTTTCTTCTTTTTCTTCTTCCGCCCACTCGGTACTGGTGGTGTCGCGGGTGATGAATAGTTTCACGTGCAGATGGAACGCACCGCCTTGCTGTTGCTGCTGCTGCTGCAGCAGCAGCTCCTGCAGTTCCTGTTGAATCCAGGACAGGCACTGCCCCTCGCGCACTACCCAAATAAAGGTGACGTGGCGCAGGAGACTGGCTTCCTGGCGCGGGAGGTGGGCAAGATGAAGCAGCTGGGACAGCGTAAAGGTGACCCCAGTCCCGCCGGCTATGAGTAGAACGGAATCGAAGCTCGACAGGTCTGGGATGGTGCTCGGGTACGGCCCATCGATCCACGCCAGATAGGCCGATGGATGGCGGTTCACGGCTGCGTGCTCATCCGCGAGGGGCTCTTCGGGCTGCGAGGATGAAAGCTCGACGGCGGTACGACTGGCGGTGCGCAGCAGTCGATCGGTGAACCCGCGCCGGGCTTTGAGGATGAGGATCAGGTCGCCGTGGTGCGAGGTCGGGGTGGACAGGATGGTGGCGGGATGCGTTGACAGCGGCCAGGCTAGGCGGGGTAGCGAGAGCAGAATATGGGAGCCAGGGGACCAGCGACGGAGCGGATGCGAGGTGATGCACACGCGAGTAGCCCCTCCCGCCATGGCTTCCAGACGCGCGTGCCCTGGACGGGCTGCATTGGTGTAGCCCACCCAGCAGAATCGGACCAGCATCGTGACAATCCAGATGGCGGCGCTCACGTAGATATACCGCTGCGTGGAGGGCTCGGTGCCGGTCTGCAGATGATAGGAGATGGCGATGACAAAGCCGAAGAAGGTGATCAGATGCTGAATCACGAACAGCTCATAGCAGAGGCTGCGAAACGGGGCCAGAGTGGTGAGATTCATCCACAGCACAAAGGCATACGCGGCGATCCCGGTGATCGGACACGAGTCCGTCATCCACTCTAATCGACTAACGTCGTACACATCCCACCCGTGGTTCTGACAGGCGAAATGCAAGGTGGACAGCAGCAGCAGACCCCGAGCTACCCAGCGGTGATAGATGTTCAACCGCGTGTAGTTAGACACCCCACAGAAGAGGCCAATCAAATTATATTTCCCGGCCAACGCAACGAGGAGAGGGATTTGCGCGGTTGCGAGCCATCCCGCTCGCGTTCCCAGTAGCTGCCAGTACATCGCCCCAGGCGCATGGTTGTTATTGAATTCCAGCCCAAGAAGAAAACTGAAGTATGCGGCGATGAGCCAAAGCGAGCCCATCGGCGGGATTTGGAGCCATCGGGGTGACCATTGAAGATAGGAGGCTTCACGCACCAGCGCGGTCGAAGTTGCAAGCCCGGTGCTGAAGGCTGTATACAGCTTTCCTGGCCGATGGAGACCGGGCTTTCTATTTGTAAAAATCAGAATTTGAGCACTCGGCCCAGTCTACTGTCATGGATGTAGGCAGAACTTACCGCACTCTGCGAGCCAGCACCCAAACCCGATTTACCGCAGCGACCACCACCAGCAGCGCGATTATTCCGTACCAGAAATGCTCCGCCGCTTGGCTCCCTTCTAGCGGAGCCGCGGCCAGGTGCTTGAGATCATGCAGAAATATGGCTTTCTGAGTCTCATTGGTGAGGTTAAAGTCCGATGCGCTTAGGGTGCCATGGTAGCTCCCCCCGGACATTCCTTGCATCTGCATTGTGGAGGTAAGTGAGAGTGATTTGAAGGAATGAATTGATAGTTTATCGGGTGACCGGATTCTTATCTAGCGGGCAAACTCGGCCCGCTCAATGCTTAGCAAGAGCTTAGCAGGTGCGGGTGGGCCCCGCTGCCGTAATAATCTGCTCAAGACTCACGTATGCGCACATCTGCATAGGGAACCCTAATACGTACCGATAAGATACAGCACAAACGGTGCAGGCTACTCTCTGCCTCAGGCTTCCACCTTTGTGCCTGTCAAATCGTCACAGCCATTACTGTCACGTGATCTTATATGGCCGCTTGGCGGGCACTGTCGGTCGAATACTTCCATTCCCTCTTGGTACTGTACTGTGCATACTATACCTTTCTGCTGAATCAGTTGTAGACCTCTACTCCTGTAAGCATCACAACCTAATACTTATCCTGCTACTTCTAGTATTCGTCTATACCTAGCACCTCGTGTGAGGCTTAGGGTAATCAGGCCTAATTGAATGAGCCTAACTATGGCCATTATTATCTTGCAGGGCTCTTTTGAAAAGGAAGAGACCGATAACTGTGAAACAGTCATGATGTGGAAGCTGAGGAGGATCATTTCGCTCAACTCACAACCAAAGTGCCGGAGGGCAGTTTTTCGATTCCTGGAATCTAAGCTACCCGCCCCAACTATAGAAGATATGATACACAGATGCTCACTGTAACTTGCGGGGTGCCAACGATCACAGACTTGACCCGGTTAGGCCTCTCCTTCACTGCGGGCGTCAATCAGGCCCCCCGCCTGGCCCGCCTGGCAAACTAAGCCCCCCGACGATCACTGGCAAACCCTGGCTCACTGCCACAATCACCCAAGTGCGGAGGTCAATGTTTGCTTGAAGTGAGACAAGCAGCCAAGGGATCGCCGGTTGATCCAGGACAAGTGCGGTAACTTCTGCTCCCGGACCGAAATTCACTGTCCCCCTTAGCGCGTGTGCTCTGGCTATGAAGGACATCTGGGCCCATGGAAAACAATGTATTCGAAGAACTGATTTATTCTCCTCACCCAAACTTGAGCACAGTGCTTTCGGGCTGTGATACAGGGGTTTCGGTTCGGATCAGGACTGCATGCTTACTAGACACGGCATTTAGCGCGGTTTGCACGACTGTCCTGCAGGGTCTTCTCGCCCCATTTCAAAGTCTTTGAGGTTCTCGAGTGAGAGGGGCCACCCATCACACATTATTGGTCTGAAATCCTTGTAGTTTGCTTGAGGTCTGGCTGCGATATTTTTGTCCTCGATTGGGAGAACAGAGGCAGTGTATTTGCGTGGTTGTGCATCGAACCCCAACACCGGAGTGATCATCGTGGGGTGTAGGTCTCATATGCTAACGGCACGCCTTACCCATTTCTTTTTCCAGATCAAGGAGGCAATGGTGAGCTGAAATGGTCGGGGGCCCTTTTGAAATGCGCATATAAGAGTCGACACGTTTCTTCTCACCGTTTGAGAAAGCTGTCCCACAGCAACCATCCCACAGTTTGCCTCTCCGAGCTCTGTTCAAACCCAAGATTACACTTCCAGTATCCGTTTCACAGCAGACAACCAAAATGGTCAACCTTGCAGGTCTCACCGTCGCGGTCATTGCGGCGTTCCTGGCCCCGACGGTCGCAGCGAGAAACTGTAAGACGGGCCTCAACTACTGTGGTTACAATCTTCTCAATATCGGTATGCGTGTGACCCAGGGATAAGGAAACATTCTACCCTGATTTTGTTGACGTAAGGCCTGTGTAGGGAACTACGCCGCGCAGATTAACCAAGCCCTTTCCGACGCAAGGCAGCCCGTCGATAGTGCCCACATCCACGAATCGATCTTCCACTGCAACGGAGGATCCAATGACGACATCACTTGGCTAGCCTACTGTAAGTCTGGGTGCCAGGATGGTGGGTCTGGGAAGAGCGACTTCTGCTAGACGTGTTGGTTGTGGGGAGGAGATGAAGCTTGTCTTGTTGGGAGTATGTCCTGGCTTATGCGCGCATTCTAAGAATCAAGTCACTGCATGAAAGTGTGCTCGACGGGCTGCCGCAGGTTAGCCCTAGAAGTTGCTCCTCACCAGAAAAGTTTTAATCACACCTGGCACATTATTCAATAGCTGGACTTTTGTTTATTTTGACAGCACAATTTCTGCATAAACATAGGGTAGTAAACGTTTCCGTAAATGCGATTGCCAACACAATGTGGAGGATCTGGCTTTCCGTTCCGGTCCCCGACGCGCTTTGCGTGTTGTTCTATTTTCAGAAGAACACAGCGTAAGCATGGGATCAGACTCCCTTCTGTATTAGGGGAAATAAAGTCTTTGTGGACAAAAGGTAATGCCATTGGGTTCCTTTTTCACAAAATACCTTTTATTATTCCTTTGATAAATGGAGTTAGGGTTTATATTTATGTCTGATTCTGCCGGCAGATCCTTTTTTGCCGAGTGGTCGCAATAGTCTTCCGGAGTACAGACGGCTAATTCAGTAAGCGGTCGTCACTGCGGTAGATATACATATCCTGCCTCACCCCGCGATTTCTTTATCAACCCCACATTGAGTGGCTACTGCTACAAACAAACTACAAATAATGTCACGCAGGTCCATCCTTGATCTTCCTACCGAGATTCTTAACCAGATTCTTTGTATCTGTGAGCAAGTCTCCCAGAAGGGAAACTCTCATTGTACCGCCCCTCTGCTCACCTGCCAAAAGCTCTACCATCTCACAATTCCCGTCCTTTACTGCGATCTACGGTTCACCTACTCCTCTCAGCCGCGGACAAGCTGCCTGCACCGGTCTCTGGAATCTAATCCGAGCCTATATCTGCTCGTCCGGTCTCTGACTTTTGATCTGCGACCGAAGAATTCAGGCGAGTATATCGCGCTCGACGACTATGTGGCGGCCGCCAATGTGCTAAGCCGGTGTGAGGTGCTCCACTCGCTGCAGATCTGGGGCTACGCCTTCTTGTCGCCCGAAGACCGGAAACCTTTCCAGATGGACGCGCCACCGGGCCGATCGCCAGTCGACCTCTGCCGATGGGAACTCTTGCAGTACGCTCTCTTCCAACGCCCCACATTGCGGAGGGTGGAGATGGTCAGCAATCGAGATTCGCCCGGCCATGGCTTCAAGCTCCGCTTGGACTGTCAGGCGCAGGCCCGTGAGTTGCGGTTGTTGCCGGGCACGGGCATCAACCTCCCGGTGCCAGGGACGACTTCCCAAGAAGAGATTAGGTTGCGAGTTGGTTTCCCCTTCTCTTTCTTTCCCTTCCTTTGCCGGTTTCTCTTGTTTCCCTCATACTCGATTTAACTCGCAAGAATCATGTCCCCAGGGGAAGTTCAATCAAAGCTGACCCAAGCACTTTTAGATATTACGGAAAAAAGGTGATGCAGGTATGCAGGGTGACGCCCGCCGCTCGATTGACTTCAGCATAGCATTCGGACCCAACCACGACGGCAAGGAGTATGAATGGAGGGACTTCGAGTTTATCCTCGTCTTCGTCTGGATGAAGCATCGTCCGCACATCCTCCAGCGCATGGTCCTTGGAGACTGCAAGCCCCTTCCGCTGGTCAAGGAGTTCCGAGCGGCGGCGTACCCCAACCTACACACGGTTGTCTGTCCGCCCTTCCACGTGAAGGAGCGCAGGCGTAGGCATAGCCCCTACAAGCCGCCCTCTGAGGTGATCGATCAGCTTCTGGGCCCATCGGTGCATACGTTCGTGTTCGACCTGACCAGCAACGACCAGCATATTGGACTGTCTTCGTCCGCGTTCGGGGAGCCAGAGGAGCGGTGGCTGCGGGAGCTGGGCCAGCTCGCTGCCTCCCCGGACCGAAACTTGGCGCTGCGGACAATCTACATCGACTTTGAACCAGACCCAGACTGTGAACAGGGATTCGATCCAGCGAACTATGTCTGGGACCGTATAGTGCGATTGCAGAGGCAATTGCAGCCCTTGGGGATTAGCGTGGAGTATCCTGCGCCTTCGATGACGCGAGAGGAATATCACGAGCTGTGTCGCCAGCATCAAGAGTGGATTGCGGATGAAACCGTGAGGAGAACGGGTTTAGAACTTGCAGATAATAGCGGCGGACCTGAAGTGTGACAGGATGATGTCGCGATTCACAGCCGCTGGCGCATGGTGCATAAAGTAGGGTCTCCATCCACAATCCAGTCATGCTTAAGCGACATGACAGCCCCACCCCGTTACGATAAGACCATGCGTGCGGTGTAGTGTAGGCCCCTGCTTTACAAAGCGTGTGCTGCAACTCTTTCTCACACCTTGTAGCATGCGCTTTTCCCTCCCTCAACAGCATCATCCCACCATCGTGTTCTTGTCTCTATCTGCCACGCAACCAAACCACCCAAGATGCACTCCATCCCTCGACTGGTTTTCCTCGCGCTAGGAATATCACCTCTCGCCTGGGCTCAGCTGGAGACAATCGACATCACCACCTCTGGCATTCCTCGGACCAGTTCAACCTCATCGACCGACTCGCCCTCATCGTTATCCTCAAGCTCGACCTCCAGCTCAGCATCATCGACATCAACCCCGCCCCCTACCTCCCTATCCAGCACCACAACCGCAACCGCAACCGCAACCGCAACCACAACCACCCTTAACAACCCACTGGACCTCACCACAATCTTCACCCAACCCGCCGACTGCGCCACTGGAATAACCGAGATAGCAGCCTGGTCCACTGAACTCTGGCAAAACATCATCAACCCGGTTCCCACCCTAACGCTATCCTCCTGCTACCCCAGCCAATTCTACTACAGCGCAATAGCAACCACAATCCTTCCACCATACGCCCAGTTAGTCTGCCCACTGAACTGGGAGGTGTACAACCTCACCGAGACGTATCTCGTCTGCTGTCCGAGGTAAGTTGTTCCCACAAGCCATCCGTCATCGCCCAGCAATCGCTGACGGGGTGGATCCCGTGCAAAGCGGGTACGGAGTCTACTTGCCCAACTACCACAAGACGACGCGCCCCGGGCTGGGCGCCGTCTGCACGTCCAATGTCTGGCCGAGCGTGCTGATGGACATCACCCGCTACGATGCCGCGGGGAAGGTGACGGTTATTCCGACCTCTGCAGGGGAGGACGTGACGGTGGTGTTTGCGACGGCGTTTGATGGGACCGTGGCTACGGTTGTGGGTAAGGCTACGGCGACGGCCGGGGGGATCTCTGGTTCTTCGGGCGAGGGGTCTGCAGGTAGTGGTGGTGCTGGAGCTGGGGCGTCTCAGGTTACTGACGGGGAAAGATCGGGAGCGTCAAGGATGGTTGTGCCTTGGGGTTTTTTTGGGGTTGGGTTGGTTTTGTACTTGTTCTCGCTGATTTTCGTTTTCTAATGGGAGGCTCGATTTTTCTGTGAATGGAGGTTTCTAGTTGGAGTGGTCAATTTTGAACACCGGAAGATAGGGGTGCGTGGCTAACTGGCTTCTCGCCCACACTCTGGATCGATATTATGTATAATGCTAGACGTATGCAGGGCTCGATGAGTCATTGAAAGAAAGGGAGAGTACTAAATGCTGACCCCTACGGAGTTCCGACGGTTGCACCAGCGTTAAAATAGGCTAACTCATTCAGGGTCCGAACTAATATCTTGCTAAGCCCGAAATAAGCACTACCAAGCACCAGCCAAACACTATTGAACGCTAGTAGGACGGCTGCATGTGCTAGCTTGACGGACTGGCAAAGTGTTCCAGGGTTCGCATTAGGGCCCAATTGGTCAATGCCAGGTGCATGATCTGTGATTCGTGGTCGATTTCTTCTTATCTCATTCAATGGGCGAACGGTGACTCCATTGAAATCTGTTAAGTGGACATTGAGGTTCGGATCGGGGACTGTAATAGTCCGAAGTTGAGCTGGCTTTACCCAGGGTATTCTTTCTGGGCCCTGTGGCGCTGCTGATGCGCTTCCCGGAACTCTCCGAGCCAGCCGGCCAACTGCTGATCGGTGCCTTGCATAATTTACCTCGCTTAGCTCTTGCGGCCATGGTATTGTGTTTAGTAGCTTAAGTGGGAGTAGTCTTAACTCTGTCGGTCACTATTGTGCTATTGTCATAAGAAAATGCTGTTACCTGCAGGCATGAACACGATAAATTGGGTCTCGCGCACATCACAGTCTAGAACGCAACGCTTAGATGTATAACTCACAGACGACAGAATCTTTCGCTAGACAAGGCTATAGCCTAGCTGAGTACGAGTCAGCCATTGTAGCCCATTCCAGTATACATGCACAATTCACCCTTGAAGCCTAGCAATTGCCACTATCCACACATCCTACTCCTCAATCTCAACAACAAGCCCAGGCACCAACTCCACCCTCCCCGCCTTCTCTCCCTTCAACACCAAGCGAATTCCCCACTCCTCCGCATGCTCACTCCTCACCAATCCAACTTTACGTCTTCCTCGGGCCTCTTGAGACGGAACATCTACCCCCCACGATGACCCAGACCCTTCCTCCTCCTCAAAAACCGCAGTATACACCTCACTCAACCTCTCCCTCTCGCCCTCAGGCACAGCAACAGTCACCCCCGCCACCCCCGTTACGCCCGAAGGATGCCTCGTCAGCCCTTCACCCTCATCTTGGTACGGAACCCGCCACGCTCTAGGCGTCTTATCCAAACACCAAAACGGCAACCGTCCGCCCTCAACCGTCCCCTCATCTCCATCAACCCCAGAAACAAGCGCAGAACTGATCTCCCACTCCAACCGCACCCCATCCCCCTCCCTCACCCTCCCACCAGCCACAGGATCCGTATACCCAATCCCCGTCGCGGGTCGTCTATCCTCAACCCGCTGCTGCACCTCCCTGAACTCCTTGCCCGAATCCAGCGTGAGCGCCCAATCGATCACCGTGTTTTCGGGCCGGGTGCCCCAGCGGTGCGACCGGCGCGTTTCGGGATCGATGTCGTCGACGAAAGCGATCAGCTCGAGGTACACCCCATCCTGCAACAAAATGAGCTTGTTGGTGGTCAGGCCGTCGGCGTGGGTGCCGCCGGGAGCGACGTGGAAGGTTTCGGTGAGACGGGGAGGGAGGGATTTGAGGGTGGGGTGCGAGACGAGGAGCACGATGTGGTCGAGGATGGGTTTGGGGGGCATTGTGGTGGAATCTTGTCTGATGAGCGACTTTTGGGGGGGTATAATGGGATTGTTGGTGGTAGGTGGGTGAGGTTGATAAGGTTGATGGTCGGTGGAAGGTGCAATGGAGAAGGGGGAATTGGCTGAGGGGATGAATGGGCGAAAGGTTTGTTTATGTCGGTTGCTGGTGCGGGGTAGGGGATTGCTCATCGGGGCGCGGAGGCACCTAATCTCATCTTCTGCGTCCATTCCTCTGGAAGCCAAGAACCTTTCTTTGGTCAACCGTGACATAATCTTTCTCCATTGTAGACCGTAAGACTATCCATCACATCCATCGCTCTCTTTTCGGATGTTTCCCTCAAGTCCGGACGTAAGCCAACCTCGGATGCTCTTCGACTACCTCCGGTGGACACAGATCGTGCTGCAACCGGAACCGCTTTCGGCACTGGCTTCACTCTCGAGTCTGCTCCGTCACTGGAGGGGTTGGCTTAAGCACAAGCCCTCCTTGTTTCTGGTAGCTTGTCTTCAGTCCCCCTTGCTAGCCGTGAGCACTCTTCGGCCCTCAATCAAGTCATCCAAGTCACTTCGTATGTGGGTCTCCTTAGTGGGGGAATGCGGATTCCACTCAAATGTGACCAAAGGCGAGCGTGAAGTCATTGCTCGCAGTCAGCGTAATGTCATCGGTAAGTTCCATCAAGAACCGTGTTGAGGTGAAGGTTCGCGTTACATGTTAGGTCTAGCATCTTCCTATAGGATCGCCCAGACGAGGTTTATAGCCCACATGTACTGCGGTAGACGCTAACGCAGCCGCCTCGCCTTGGAGGAATTGCTGCTTTCTTGCTCGGGCCCTCTTTTGTTGCCGTGGATTTCAGATGAAGCAGTGCTTTTGACGAGGCGTAGAGGCCTGGGAGCTACCAACTCAGCGGTAAGACGGTCGGCAAAGGTGTCATACGGCTTGAATGCAAGCTGTCTTCGTCGAATCACCGGCCACTCAATGCACGCTGTGGCAAGTTTTGGATAAGTGAGCGCCTTGAGAAGCTCAGCGGTAATCTCAGCGTCGTACAAATGGATATGTTCGCGGTCCCTAACGCCAGTCACGAGAAGCTGCGACTAGAAGCACATAAGCTTGAAAAGACTAGGACTTTGTATCGGGAAAAGACATACAGTGTAAGAAGTGATCTCTGGTTCTGGCGGCTCCACTTTGCGCTCTTGAAGTTGTGCAAGAGCCAACAACAGGCACACAAATTAGGAATCCTCAGTCCACCTCGGAGGGGTTATTTGAGCCAGTCGCTTCTTGGCAATCGCCGCGCCGATCCAGTTGATGTATCCACGCGGATCTGGACACACCTCGAAGAGTCCCTCGCGATCTCCGTTGACGTATCCATAGTGCAGGTAACCGACCATTGAGGGTGCGCCTCGAAGAACATGCTCGCGGGCTCGACCATGGCGATGAAGCACAGTGTAGTGAGGCCGATGAACTGGTTTACCTGCAAACGAGAATTTGGGCCCTTTGCTGCTCCAGGCAGGTCGTTAGTCAGCCACTGCCGATGAGCCGGGGGTTGTGTTGACGAGTCATCACATCTCTTACCGAGATCGAGCAAAGGCGCGTTCTTCGCCCACCAGAATGTCGACAAGGCAGCGATGTTGGAGGTTGGGAATCGGTAATCGTGCAACTCGCTCAGCATCGCTCGCCAGGGCTGCGCAAGTCTGTGGGGTGGCTCGGGTTTCTTCTTTCCTCCCAGTGGATTCTATGTCCGCATCTTCAAACCTACATCTCAAGAGATTGAGATGGTGGAGGTCCATGATAGCGGGTTCACGAGCAATTTACGATGATTTTGCATGAGATCCCAGATTGAGACCTGGGGCGACGAAGTCACCATTATGCCACCAGTCAGGGATGGGAAGATGGGGAGGGGTTTACCTGGATACTGCCTTTTGTGAGGGATTGTGATTCCCTTCACCGCTTGATCTGCCCGCAATATTGGAGACCGCCTGCAGTAATCTCCTCTTTCTCTATGTGTAGGCAAGGGAACTTTGTACGGATTATCAAGCTTAATGTACCGGATATACCTAGTTAGGTCATATAGGAATTCCAACTGCGGCATTTCTCTATCTCACTTTTTTTATTTTCAGTCAAAAACACCAGGGCTTCGAGCTTGGCCCAAACCCTCTGGGAGAGTTGATCTCGGCAACATCTTAAGGGCTTATCCTTCGGTGCTGTGAACTGCTATACATATTTGGGCACCCAGATCAATTATCCACCTTAGCCAGCCTTGGAATAGACAACACGTGCTTGGCGAGATGATATTACCGAAGTGTTCTGGTCCATGCTACACTATTGATGCCGTTAGGGCCATGCTAGTAATGCGTGGATGCTGCCCTGTTATTCGAACACTCAAGTTTGACCGACTGAAGTCTCTGTAGATATCAGACTTGAAACTTGACAGGTCATTGAGCTTCAAACCGAGAAGGCAGAATTCCCCCACCACCAGAAAGACCGATCCTTCCTTCTTGATAATCCAAACATGATGTCCAACAGATACAGCATCAACCACGATCCTTCGAAAATAGTAGATGAAAAGATCGGCATGCAACCCAACCGAGTCAACCCACCGACACCGAGCAGCAGAGCTGATTTGAACACAGCAACAACCCATCGCAGCCAAGAACCCAACCCCGCTGCATAAATTGGCCTACTCAGTAGCAAAGCCCCCAGCCCTTGCTACTGTCTAGAAATGTGCCCACTTTCCCAATTGCAAGCCTCCCACCACGTCACAGGATTACCTTATCCGGGTCAAGCTGCGGGGCCCTGAATAGAGAATTATCTTATCTGATCAACATGCAATTTGCATCCGGGGTTCTGATTAGTGGGAAGCCCCATTCACCCTGAGACATCCCACATTGCCAAGAGCCCGTCGCGGCCGGGCGAAGAACACCAGCACCGGTGCTGAGGGTGGGATGAGGTATAAATTCGAAACGACAAGACAAGGCAGACTCAGCCAGACCGACTCTCCGTTTTTTGCACATCTGCCCAGATTTCGCATATCTACACAAAGTCATTTCAACATGCGTCTCTCCAGCGTCCTCGCTCTCCTCTCCCTGGCGGTCCTGCCTGCCTTCGCCAGTCCAGTCGAGATCAATAACCAAGTATCATCTCCTGTCCTGTACGCAGCTCCTGAATTAGTCTCTTCCTTACTAACCATTTGTATCCTTGGTAGGAATCCTCGATCAGCAAGCGCTGCTGCATCCTCTGCGACAACCCGTACGCGAGCTGTTTGACGAACGATAAGCGGGAGGCGGTGGAGACTTTGGAGGAGGCTGTTGGGGGGGAGTAGTAGTAGTAGTGTCTACAAGTTAGGGTGTTGCTGTGGTGGGGATGTCGTAAGATCTTATATAAAAATACATGTTTATGTATATGGTCAAGCAGTTTCGGAGTTTCAATGTTGGCGTGTCAGGTTTTAGGTCAGAGTAGTCAAACCATAAACGAGACACACGACCCCCTTGTGAGTTTCTATGGGTGAGCTATAGTAAGCTTCTTCAACTTAACCCTATCCACTGACATTATGCCTTCCCAAGAGCTTTACATGCATATGCATAGATCTTCAGACAATGTGTTTGTCAAGTACCGTAGTCAGGGAGAAAGAGATAGCACCTCTTTATTCATTAAGTGGTATACCTATTACGATTTCTTCCAAATCTTGAGTGTATGTTAGGCAGTGCAGGACTATAGACTACAAAAGTCTTATAGCTATACAGTCGCAACAGTCTCCCAAATTACTGGAGCGACAACACAAGGTAAGTGACCCCTGGCCTGCAAGGGCAGCTGCAAGGGATACATGCCACGACAGCCAGACCCCAAACAACCCGACCCAGCAGCCAACCCAATAGACTCACGCACCTCAAATCTCAGACACACATTCAGCGATACGTAATCACGCATAGGTTAATTCACCGACCAGACAGTCCTCAGTCCCCTCTAACCTACACCCTCCCTCCCTCCATTACAACCATCCCAACCCACCAACTCAACAACCACAACCCACTCAACCAACAATGCACCTCACGCGCAAACAATGGCTCCAAGCCCTCACCCTCGCCCTACGTACATCCCCATCCCCTGACCCCCTCCAGCCCCATATCCTCAGACCCCCAAACTAACAAAGAAAAGTCCCAACCCAAGCCACCGCCAAAATCCTAACCACAGCCCCAGATCCCACCACCCCCTCCCTAACCTACAGCATCACCATCCCCAACATCACCTCCCCAAACTCTCCCTCTGAAAAGACCCCAAGCAACGGGCCAATCTACCTCCGCCTCACCGCCCCAACAACCATGCAATGGCTCTCCCTCGGCCAGGGGCCCGACATGGCCACCGCCAACATCTTCATCGTGTACGCGGCCTCCGCCACGACCGTCACGCTCTCCCCGCGGTCCGGGGGCCAGGGCCAGCCGAGTTATAATCCCGCTGCGAATGTGACGCTGCTCGAGGGGTCGGGGATCGTGGATGGAGTGATGGTCGCGGAGGTGCGTTGTGAGAATTGTTGGGGGTCGTGGCCTGCTCTGTCTGGGTCTGGTGATGCAGTGGTGGAGGGGGGGGAGGGGGGGGTTGGAGCTGCGACTGGGGCTAGTGGTGGTAGCGGCGGGTTCGTGATGGATGCGAACGGGAATGAGACGGCGTGGTTCTGGGCGTATCAGCTGGGTGCGCCGCTCGACAGTGCGGATGTTGGGGCGGAGTTGGGGATGCATGATGTTAAGGGGGAGATGGTGTGGGATTTGAGGGAGGCGGGGTTTGAGCTTGGTGAGACGGGATTGGAGGAGGGGTTCAATCCGTTTGTTTGAGGAGGTTGTCATTCATTGTTGAGGGGGAGGTGCACTGTGGAGGGAAAGGTGATGAAGAGGTAGTTTGTTGCGTGGAAGGGTGGGTGAATGGCATTGCAAAGGGTAGGGGGTGGATACTTTGGTGGAGATTGTAATGAGATCGAGAACAAGAAACTGAAAAAGACGGTAGTAATCAGCATATGCAAGCGACGAGAACTAATTACTAGCAATGACTGTTCAACATCAGTACCTACCTGAAGCATGCACAAGAACGTAGACTATAAACATACAATAACCCTAACGCGACTCACCATCCACAGAACCTCCCTTTGAGAAAGCCTACTCCTCCCTCTCCCCAAACTGCCGCGTCCACTCCTCCCTCCCCATCTTCTGCCCAAACGCCCCCGTCATCCGATCAAACCGCCACCGATAAACCGGCCACACCAACGAAGCCACCATCCCCATCACCCAATCCCTAACCGGCCGATCCCGCGGACTCGACCCGCGCATATTATTGAGCAGCAGCTCCGTCTCCCCGTCGACCGTGATATACCCCTGGCCCGCGCGCAGCCCCCGCAGCGTCAACTCGGCCACCTTGGCCGCCGTCAACCCGCCCTTGTTATCCGCCGACCCCTCCATCTCTTTCAGCAGCTGCGGCTTGCGGATCTGCTCCTCGTAGAACGCATCCGTGTAGATCGTGCCCGGGAAGCTGCAGTGCACGCGGATGTCCTGCTGCGCGCGGTAGAGCAGCACCTCCGACCGCAGGGTGTCGGCCAGCGCGCGCGTGGCGGCTTTGGTCGGCGTATAGGCAGCGTAGCCCGGGAAACCGAGGAAGGCCGCCGTCGAGGCAGTGAAGATCAGGTGCCGTTTGCTGTTACTGTTACTGTCGGCGGACGGCTCCTGCAGCCAGCGCCGGAGGCAGGCGTGCGCGATGTACGCGGCCGCGAAGTAGTTCTGGTCCATGCAGGATTTGATTTCTTCGGGGGTGATGTTGGCGAAGAAGCCGACTTGGGCGGCGGTGCCGCCGGCGACGATGAAGAGGATGGATGGTGGGGTGGCGAGGGAGGTTATGAATTCTTGGACCTGAGGGGGAGCATGTTAGGATGTGCTGGTGGAAATGGGGTAGGGGTAGGGCTGGTTGTAGAAGAGGGGGGTCCAGGGACAGGCTTACCTGTTTCGGATCTGTCAGATCGACGGCGGCGGCGTTGATGACCTGATCCGCGGACTGCGTGTGGGAGAGCAGCTCTTTACGGGTCTCCTCGAGTGGGCCGGGGCTTCTGGCGAGGATGGTGACATGGGCGCCTGCATGAGGTGGGGCGCATGTTAGTGGCTGGCGATGTTGGAGCTTGATTTGATGTCAATCTGCCAGAAAAACATGCCTTGGGTAGTGAGTTGGATGGCGATTTCGCGGCCCAGACCCTTTGATCCACCGGCGATGACGACGGTCTGCATGCATGTTAGACAGGGCTCTCTATCACTGCGGGGGTGTGGGCTCCGACAGACCTGGCCTTGGACGTGAAAGTGCTTGCTTTGCGTCATGGTGTCACTTTTACACTGAAGAATGTACTGTACTATGGTTCAGTTCCGGAGGGTAAACAAGAAATGATTCAGGGGTATTTTGCACAACCATGGGTTGATCAGGCTGGGATCTTTGCATGACTAGTGCTTATTGCCCGACGGAGTATCGTATTTCCGGCCTCAGCCTTGCTCGACGATCATTCCATAGTCTACCCATCGGGAGTGAGGATCATGAGTTGGTTATCTGACATGGATATGACAGAATGATGCTCTTGGAATGCCCAAAAACTTGATATCCCAGAATGTGCAGCCCTATCTGCCCTCCTCGTCTTTGTACCGGTGACTGCGGCAATTGAACCCGGGACCAGCATTATCGCGATCAACAGTGATTAGCCGGCGGGCCGCGCCAGCAAAGAACCTGTGGGGCTACCGGGGGTTTTGCCCTTGGTGCCATCTCGCCCTCTGGCTGGCCAGCTCTGGCGAACGCCTCCAGTGGGTCAGCGAAGTGCCGGAGTCGAATCGGAGTTTGCAATCGTCGATAGCGTCGAATCTATGCTCCCCTAGACTCATACGCCATACGAGAGATAAGAAATAAACTCTGACAGGGGAGCGAAACCGAGGAAAAAGGAAAATAAGCGATGATCATGATCGTTAGGCACGAGAATCTGCAGCTTTCCGCATGGATCCGCCGCAGCTGAACAGTGGGTCTGTGGTCGTGGGACCTGCGTTGTCGCCCTGTTCAGGTAGATATAATAGCGTGCTTGCCTTCTGGAAGCTCAATCTTCTGGGAGATAGGGTCTGCATATTTCTGTCTTTGGTTGACTGAGAAGCACAATGGCATCGTCTCCCTTCATTATCACGGAGCACATTATTGGGTGCCAGCATGTTCGCGAATACCCTCATGCGTCGAGACACGGCGACGATGCGCTGCAGCTGGTGCTGAAGCGGTATACTCCCAAGTCGAACCCAGATCCTCAGCCGGGAGATGTCACGATCATTGGGGCGCATGCGAGTGGGATGCCCAAGGTGTGTGGTCCGTTGTAGTTGAAATGCATACTGCGCTCATGAGCCTGACAAGACACTAATGCACCGAGAACAGGAGCTTTACGAACCAATCTGGGAAGAAACCCTCGCGAAGCTCGAGCACCAGGGCGTCCGGATCCGCTCGATCTGGGTCGCAGATACAGCGAGCCAGGCCGCCAGCGGACTGTTGAACAGACAAAATCTAGGGAATGACCGTAAGCAACGCCTCGAAACGACAACCCTTCTCCATACTGATTCAATTGCAGCATCGTGGTTCGATCACTCCCGAGACCTCCTGCATCTAATCAACACCTTCAAAGCCGAGATGCCGCGACCGATATTCGGGGTGGGACACAGTCTCGGCGCCGGACAGCTGTAAGTCCCTCGCCCTCAAATCGAAGCACTGGATGGGAATAACCCGTCGACTCAGAATTTTATTATCCCTAATGCACCCTCGCCTCCTCACCTCCCTCATCCTCATCGACCCCGTGCTGGCCCCGGACGTCCATACCGGTAAAGGCGCCGCCTTCGCCCGCGCCTCCCTCTCCGCCCCCGACAAGTGGGCCACCCGCGCCGCCGCCACGACATTTCTGCGCAAACAGTATCGCAAATGGGATCCGCGGGCGTTCGATCGCTTGGTTGAGTACGGCCTAGTTGACACCCCTTCAGGAGTCAGTCTTACCACCTCGCGCCACCAAGAGGTAATACAGTACCTCCGCGCCAATCTCTCGGGCCGCAAGCCTCTGGATCCGGAGAACGAGCCAGCGGAGCATGATGCGGTTTTCCATGCGGATATCATCGGTCCCGCGCACGCGGTCGCCCCGTTCTATCGGTACGAGCCGATCCTGGCGTTCAAGCTGCTGAAACATGTGCGGCCGTCCGTGTTGTATGTCTTCGGTGAGAGGAGTCCGATTTCAACGCCGGAGATGCGGGCGGAGAAGGTGGAGCGCACGGGACGGGGGATCGGGGGGAGTGGTGGGCTTTCGCGGGGGAGAGTGATGGAGGTTGTTGTTCCCGCTGCCGGGCATCAGGTCCCGTTTGAGGATGTGGGAGGTGTGGCGGCTGCGATGGCGGAGTGGTTGGGGAAGGAGGTAAGGAGGTGGAAGGGAGAGGAGGAGAGGATACAGCGGGATTGGGAGGACCGGTCGGTGGAGACAAGGGTGACTGTGTCTAAGGAGTGGGAGACTCAGTTGAAAGATTCTTTAAAGAGGAAGGACAAGGTTGTGAAGGCGAAGCTATGAGATACCCTTTGACAAAAGATGAGGGAGAAGAAAGTAGACAGAAGCTGACTTATAGAATAATGTTAGATAGATCATGTCATGCTTAGCAAAAAGCCGGAAGTAACTTCTACTTTGGTGTTGTGTTATGGTAATGCTGATATCATTTGACTGAAGGGTTAAACTTCCTGTGTGTTTCTCTCCCATAACAACCGACTTCTCCTTTCCATCCCTTCAAGCCCATCCTTACATTCTGACCCAGTCACCTCGCTCGTTAGCTTTTGTGTTGATAGTTTCTGATTTCATCAGAAGTCTCCACAACCAACTCTTTCCAGCACGCAGCAAGCCTCCCCTGGCAAAGCTTGTCCGCAAGGGCTTGATTTGCTCTGACGCCATCGTGAGTCTCTCCAGCTTACCCCCCGAGCTCATCCTCAGGATCGCAGAAAACCTCGACTCAGAAAGAGCGATCAAGTCTCTGACTCGAACAAATCGGTTCTTCTATTCCCTGTTGAACCTCTTTCTCTACCGCTCTCATGCGCGAAATGACATTAGGCTCTCTACTCTGCAGCATGCTGCAAAGCGAAACCTCCCAGGGGTGATTGAACACCTCATCAATGCTGGTGTTAGTCTCCACAGTCGGGAAGCATGGTTTTATCATGTACTTTGGGATCTCGGCAAGCCTAATTGCGACCACCCGCTCGTCTCGGCTGCAGGTTCAGGCCACGCCAATGTCATGGAGATCTTCCGTCTCCTTTTCAAGTATGGAGCGGAACCATCTCGAGCTGGAGGTAGTCGGGCACTGCACCGTGCTCTATTGTATCAGTGTCCTGAGGCGGCACACCTGTTGTGCGACAAAGGTACTCAGATCACTACGTCCCTTGTTCACGAATCACAGCGAGTGGTATTGAACCAAGCAGTTGCGGATCGCGACTTTGCAGCTATCAAGGCTATGGTGCTGGAAGGATCTGAATATGCCTGAGCAGTACTCCCGAGCTCGGCATTCTAGGCATCCAGGTTTCAACATGTACATAAATGGTGTAAGAACTGTTGCTCATTTTTGTTTCAAGCCTGAGATATTAGTGTCTCAAAAGGCTCAGAGAAATTAGCATAAGGTCATCAAGAATTAGCTGCAGTATCACGAACACACAAGCTTCATGTCGTACTATAGCCGCCAAGGGAAAGGATTATATAGCACCCTCCACAACCGATGGATACTGATAATTCCTCAGATCAACAAGATAATTGTAGTAGAGTAAGAGACTTTGCCTACATTTGATAGGAACTTGACGAGGTCCCTGATAGACAGGGCTGTTTATGTGTTTACTCATCTGGCGTCCCCTTCCGCATGTATCCACGGGACCTGACCCTAATCTGAGGAGCCATAGTATTCACTTCCTATCCAGAAGGATTTGACTGAAGTCACTGATTCACAAAGCTAGGAAATTTTGTACTTATAAGCGCTCACCTGATCTGGTCCTGATCCACCGAAGTAAAATGTCTGCTGAGGGTGTATATGTACAACAGAACATATATCAAGGTGTTAAAAGTTGTTATTTCTTGGTTCTTACCATCTCCTTTCAGATCTTCCTCCCATTACTTACTCACCCTCTATACGACAGACCAAAAGAACCTCCAACTCGCATGCTAAACCCATAAAGAGACTCTCTTCATCGGTGATAGACAACGATATGAGTCTTTCAGAGCTACCCCCCGAGCTTTTACTAATGGTTGTGGGGAGTTTTCCTTCCGAAAAGACAATCAACTATCTCACGCGAACCTGTCGTTCCTACTTCTCTCATTTAGACCCATTCCTTTATTGCTACCATGTTCGAAAGGGTGACGTCTCTACCTGGAAGTATGCGGCGGTGAACAACCACCCAGAGGTCGTCCGAAAGCTCCTCGATGCCGGTGCAAGCATCTACGACAGCACCATGTGGCACGTGTCAGAGCTCTACATCGGCCCCCATCCCAACCACCCCCTCATTATCGCAACGGTCCACAACCACCCCAGCGTGGTGGATGCGGTTGAGCATTTCGGCTGCCGATTCCATAACCCGCTTCCGATGGGCCGTGCCCCCTTTTTGTACACCCTCGATCACACCCGCGTTGAACTCCCCGCCGAACAGATCCTACAGCGCATCCCGCGCACCCTTAGTCTGCTGTTCCGGCACGGCGCGGACCCGGCGCGCGCGGCTGCGCTGCAGCGGGCCGTTTCGGTCGAGTCTTGGCTGACCGCGCGGTTCCTCATTGCCAGGGGGGGGGGGGGGGCGCATTGTCATCAAGAACGACGGTATCACCCCGAGGTTCAGGCAGCGCTGGATCGTGCGTTGGCAAACCACGATTTCGAGGGCGTCATGGCTCTCCTTGAAGTGGAAGGGTTGGAGGTGTGATTTCTCAGCATCGTGGCTAGTTTCCCAGAGGATTGGCCGCACATGCCAGATGTTGCATCGTGCTAGGACTTAAACTACTACATGCGCTGTGAAGACTTGGTTCTCTATTCTGAATTTCTGTATTTGCATTGGTGTTTGCTTGGACGCTGGACTGAGCTTGTCTTCATGCCGTTATCTACGTTTTATCTGTTGAAGACTTATCAGAATGCTTACTACGAGGGACACTTATCATGGAAGAATTTTATAACCCAATGACAGAAACAAATAGCATATGATACGCATGATCATGATCATCCCTATAAGATCTTCATCCATACCTATCATCATCCCATCAGCCAGTGATCCCATAACTACACCCAGAAACCCCCTAGGGAAAGGGATCGTACGCCCCCTCCCCCCAACAAGCGCCCTGCACCTCATCACCCGCAACATCGACCTCAGCAACCCCTTGTGCCCCAAATCTCTTAATCACCCCCCCTCCCACGGCCCCAGCATCAAACGCAACCCACCCCTTCCCCTCCAACCCATGCAGCGGATCCTTCGCGAACGCCAACAAATAATCCTGCATCGTCTTACTAGTCTTTACCTCCTCCCCTGTCGTCTCATCACCCCGCACAATCCCAAACGTCCCAAAATTCATCGTCAAATCACTCGAATGATACGCCCCCATCCACCCCAACGGACTCACATTACTAAAATTCCCCGCAAACTGATACCGATACGTCTTCAGCCCCGCGCGCTGGCGCACCACACTCGTGTTGGCGCTCACGCACAGCCAATCGCGCAGCGTCACCGCATTCACTCCCTCCTGCCACGGGCCGGCCGTCAGATTGTTGGTAGGGAAGGGGTAGAGCGGGGCGGCCTCGTTGGCGCAGTTCGAGATAATCGCGGGTGTCCTCGCGATCAACCCTTTCGCGGCGCGAGCCGGGTAATCCGCGAAGATGATCTTCTCGTCCGCGACGGGGGCGAAGGTCATGGTGGGGACGGTCTTGGCGTCGCCGTAGCGGCCGATGAAATTCTGGATTTTTTCGACGGGGACCTGGCGCATGCATTCGAGTTCCCTTTGGGGGCTGCGGGGGAAATCGCACCCGAGGTTTTTCGCGACGAAGGTGAAGTTCGAGTGCGTGGTGTCCAGGCTGGGGGTGGTCTTGAGGGCCGTGCCGGACTGCGAAATGGTCGCGCGCGCCAGCAGGTTCTCCGGGAAGGCGTAGGTGTGGTAGTCGACGCTCATGGCGCCGGCGGATTGGCCCCACAGCGTGATGGCGCGCGGGTCGCCCCCGAACTGCCGGATATGCGCGTGCACCCACTCCAGCGCGGCGCGTTGGTCGAGGATCCCCAGGTTTTGGTCGGATAGGCCGGCCGCGTTGGGGAAGCCCATGATGTTCAGCCGGTAGTTCGTCGTCACGACGATGTGGTCCTGCGTGCGGTTGACCCATTCGGTGGGCAGCTGGTAGGGGACGCGGATCCCGCCGGTGCGGAATTGGCCCCCGCTGTAGAAGACGAGCACCGGCAGGTTGGAGGTGGCGGTTGCGTTGGCGGGCGTCCAGATGGCCAGGTGCAGGCAGTCCTCGGCGCTGTGCTGGGCCATTGCGGCGGCGGTGGAGTTTTGGTCGGGCGCGTTGGAGATCAGGAATTCAGGCACCAGGGTGCCGAAGACGGAGGGGCCCCGGTAGACGTACTGCGAGCAGGCCGGGGGGAATTGCGTGGCATTGTGGTGCTGGTTGGACGCCGAGAGTGGGTGAGGGGGCAGCCAGCGGCGGGAGCCGACGGGGGGTTGCGCGTAGGGGATGGCGCGGAATTCGCGCACGGAGGGGTAGGTTGGGTTGTAGAGGCCGGTGTAACTGCCGGTGCTGGTGTGCACGGTCAATGCGTCGTCACTGTGGTGGGAGGTTGCGGTCACGCATTGCGTGGGTAGCAGCAGCAGTAGCAGCGATGCGGATAATGATGGGACTCTCATTATCACGGGTGGGAGGGTAATTTGGTGGCTGCAGCTACTTTGAGGGTTCTCGGAGAGTGCAGGTGGCCCTGCATGAACGATCTCGGGCCTAGGTGCCAATATTTAATCAATGTCTGGGGTTTGGCCGGCCCTCCGCAATATGCGGAGTCCTTTCCCCCGGTTCCCCATGATTCGATGACAGCTGTAGCTGGCTTTTCCATTGCCGAATTTCTGTCCGAGATGAATTCGGTGGCTTGTCGTCTGGAGTCAAATGAGTTAGGGCGCAGTCGGCTGCACCTCGGGAATCGGATCTTCCGAGCAGCAGTGCAGCGTCCCTGGATCGATGTAACCCTGCAGTAACGGGTTCGTTTTATTAAGAGTTGCAAGACGGGCCGTCGAGGCTAAGACCTTCGCCTCCGTCTTGCACCGTCAAGGGATATCTACTTCTGTGCTGCTGCGTCGCTGGGGAAGACATTATGTTCGCGGTTATTGCATCACCTGCCGTTAACTAGAGTTCTCGGCACAATATAGTCCGACACGTGGAGGAGCCGCTAAGATAATTTCGCTTTCATCTGTGCAGTACGGTAGCTTGGCAGTCAACTAGAACAACTCCATGCCTGAAATTGTGAGCAACGGCCCCGTTTCTCGAGAGTAACCAGACTATCGATGGCACTGCATGAGCTCGATGTCCAAGACACGTACTCATGCTCCATCCGGAGCTTCCTGTGTTCATCCGCCGACTTTTCCGCTTAGTCCTCTAGGATTGGAGTCGATCACCGTCAAAACAAGTAGCGATCATCCGGCGATCTCATTCCCATGGTTCTCACACTTTGGCTCCTGCCAAGCATCGAACACAGCAAACAGGAAGCCAAGCCGCCAAGCCGTCAGAAACAGGCATTGTCATTATCTTGACACCAGACCAAAGCTCACCCAGAGCAAAGTCATGAGCACTCAACCACTATACGAGCTAATCTTCACGATCACTCAAAACAGTGGACAGTACAAGGTTATTCAAAGAAAAGCGTTTGCCTACGGCTCCGGAGGCCATCCGGCATATTCTCCGTCTTGGCACTTGACCGTTCTTTTCTTTGCAGAAACTCGGGAATTCCGAACGGCGCTAACGCAGGCTTGCAGCACGCCGTTTATTCCTATTCGGGCAAGGATCTGATCATCCGCGGCCCGGTGTTTCCAGTGGTAGGGGTGGTTTCTATAGTCCATTTACTTCATACTGCATAGCGAAATGTGCATGCTGTCATCCAGGCTCTATGTTTTACTCCATTCCTTGGCAGTAGTTCCTGGTGCAGCAGGTACCTCCCGGCGGGTTGTGAGTACAGATTCGCAATGCTGATCTGTGCTGGCTATCTCAGTTTCTCGATGTGCTCCACTGCCTGTGATCGTTGAAGCCATGTGTATAAATACCTGCCTTGATGCCGATCGATTGGGGGGTGTAAATTGCCATCATCCCTTCCACTCTCCACTCATTTTTGCAAGAATCTAGCCCACCATGCGGTTGCACGCCGGAGCCCTCCTGCTCTCCAGCCTGAGCCAGGCGCTGGCCCTCCCATCCAGCCACAGCACCAGCACCCGCGACACCTCGTCCCTGATCGTCGAAGATGCCCCTGATCACGTCCGCCCCTACGTGATCCGGCACTACTCCCATGCACGGGCCGTGACCGTGGGCACGCAGCTGTACCGGTTCTACGTTACCGGCCCTTCCTCAGGGTACGCCTTCACGCTGATGGGCACCAACGCGCCGCACAGCGACGCGCTGGGTGTGCTCCCGCACATCCACCAGAAGCACTACGAGAACTTCTACTGCAACAAGGGCAGCTTCCAGCTGTGGGCGCAGAGCGGCAACGAGACGCAGGAGACGCGGGTTTTGTCGTCTGGGGACTACGGAAGCGTGCCCCGCAACGTGACGCATACGTTCCAGATCCAGGACCCGGACACCGAGATGATGGGAGTGATTGTCCCTGGTGGATTTGAGTAAGTCCATCCCCTTCCCCCTTTTCACCTCACAGCAATTAAACGCATACAACAATAGGGACCTCTTCTACTACCTTGGCACCAACGCAACCGACACAACCCACACCCCCTACATCCCCTCCTCAAGCGACAGCTCCTCGACCACCGGCCCCGATTCCACGACCATCTCAACCCTGCAATCCTTCGACGTCTACGCCGAGCTCTCCTTCACCCCGCGCACCGACGCCGTCAACGGCACTGCCCCGGCCAATACAGTGTGGCACAACGGCGCCAACGCCCTCGCCTCCACCGCCGGCGACCCCTACTTCATCGCCAACGGCTGGGGCCCCAAGTACCTCAACTCGCAGTACGGGTACCAGGTCGTCGCGCCCTTCGTCACGGCCACCCAGGCCCAGGATACGAACTACACGCTGTCCACCATCTCGATGAGTACCACCCCCAGCACGGTGACGGTGCCCACGTGGTCGTTCCCCGGGGCTTGTGCGTTCCAGGTCCAGGAAGGACGCGTTGTGGTGCAGATCGGGGACTATGCTGCTACGGAGCTGGGGAGTGGCGATGTCGCGTTTATCCCTGGCGGTGTGGAGTTTAAGTACTACAGTGAGGCGTATTTCAGTAAGGTGTTGTTTGTGAGTTCGGGGAGTGACGGGTTGGATCAGAAGTTGGTGGACGGCGGGGAGGAGTGGAGCTCGGTCAGTTTTCCGGCGGATTGGTAGGGTTTGGGTTCAGGGTAGGGGTGATCGACTACGATGGGGCTGGTGGTCAATTATAGACATTTTTTCTTCTTGAAGCTTGTATAATTATATTCATCATAGGAAGGGGTCACGGTTGATGCATGAGTTTAGGCTTTGGTGGAGGCTTTGTATAGACCACTTGGCGCACAGCAACTTTGGGAAGAATATATCTTTGACCAGCATGATCACTCTGAAAATGTTGGAAAACATGTGTCTGTCACATAGCCCTAGGCCATCGAAAAAACCGTTGCTTTGATAAACATTAAGGATGCGTTTATGACTTGTCAGGCAAGAAAGAATTATAATGTCGATAAGATCATTTATGGAGTAGGTCGCCCACCACGGGA